GGGAATCCCAGAAGGAGGGAGTGGAAAAGGGAATGACAGAGAGGGAATGCTTTGAAATACATCACATCTGTGTAGGAGGAAGGCACCGCAGAGTGCCCTGGAAGCTGCTGAATAATAGGGTAGGACAGGGCAAGGGCAGTTATAGATTATCGGATCAAAGTACGGTGTGCTCATGGGTGAAACGCCATGGCAAAACCTCTTTGAACAATACGTGTGCATTTGAAAAATAAGGTCCTGTTAGGGGTGGGTACCAGGGACAGAGGGCGAAGGAGGGTGACTAGGGTCAGTGTACCTCACGTGAAAACAGAACAATGAAGCCTGCTGACCTGTTTTAAGACGAGGGGAGGGGGATGATGGAGAATGATGGTGGGGGGGCCTAACCCCAAGGTACATTGTAAGCACAAATGGAAATGTCAGAATGAACCTTCCCCGCTCCCCTCTCCTCCGTACAGCTACTAGACGCTAATAAAAATGTTTTTTAAAAGGTCAGTACTTGAATTCTAAAGATTTCTAATTTCTGAGAGAAGTTAAAGACCTGTACATATATTTGACACATTGTGCTCATGGTTGAAAGGCGAAATCGTGGAGGTGCTGTTTCTCTGCAGAGTAAACCTTATGGTTCCCACGGTGATGCCAGCACTCCCCTACACACCCCCAGGCGCGGAAGGTGCTAAGGTTCACCTGGAAACGCAGAGGACCTGAGACTGGCATGGTTGGGCTCCTAAAAAACAGGGTTTTGACATGACTGATCCGAAGATTTTCTATGAATTCAAACAGAATGCAGTGAAGTCTGTGTAAGGACAGGCTACTCGCCTGTGGAATAGAATTTACCACACAGAATTCAGAGTTCTGAGACACACACATATAATCTTTTTTTTTCCCCCCAAGAAATCCAAGCAATCCAGTGGGGGGGGTGAGGGGTTTTGTAAATTTTTGTGGAACCCCTGGGTATTCCTGTGGGAAAGGCTGAACTAGAACCCCACACCATGCACAAAATTAATTTGGGTGGTCAGAGGCCTAAACAAAAATGCTAAAACTATGGAGCTCTTAGAGGGAAATGTAGGAGACAGATCCCCTGTGGCCAAAAGAAAGCAAAGATTTCTTAGGCAAGACACAGGGTCCTTCCTTCCTTCCTTCCTTCCTTCCTTCCTTCCTTCCTCTCTCCCTCCCCTCCCTCCCCCGCCCTCCCCTCCCCTCCCTCCCCTCCCCTTCAAATTGAACAGAGGACTCTACCACTTCAGCCATTTTGCTTTGGTCTTGTTTTTATTTTTGAGACAGGGTCTCACTACCTTTGCCTGGCTGACCTCAAAGTCTTAATCCTCCTGCCTCTGTCTCCTGAGTGGCTGGAATTACAGATGTGTATCACACTGCCCAGCGTAAGATGCAGCATTTCTTATGTAGGACTCAGAATAGGATCAGGACAACACAGAAGAGTCTGATAAAATAGTCTGCATAAAATTAAAAATGAGTGCTTATCAAGACACATGAAAATGAATGGTCAAGCAAGAGACTTGGGAAGGGGGATCACAAAACACATGTAACAAAGCAGTTGATCCACAATGTATAAAGAACTGCTAGAATTCAATAAGAAAAAGCAGGCAACCAAATTTTAGAACTGGACGAAAGTCTTGAACAGAATTTTCAAAGAGGAAAATCAATAGTGAGCACAAGAAAAAGCCTCCACATTGCTAGTCTTCAGGAATATGCAGAACAAAACTCCAGCAATATCTCACTGCACACCCATTCCAGTGGCTAACCTGAAAAAGACTGACACGGAGGGAGCTGAGAGGACCTGGAACCCCTGGGTCCAGCATGCACCCTGGTGGGTTGTAGGATGCTGTGAACACTTTGGGAAGACATTTGGCCTCTGTCTGTGACACCTGACAGCTCCGCTTCTGGTGGAGTGTTATTTCCAGAGGAAGCGAAAGTGTTCTGTCTCATCCCACCCCTGTCCACACATACAACTGAATGCCCATACAGAGGCTTTTGTTCACAATAACCCAAACTTGGAAGGAGCCCAAATGTCTGTTAAAACAGGAAGCTGGGCATGGTGGTACACACCTGTAATCCCAGCACTCAGGAGACAGAGGCAAGAGAATCATGAGTTCTGAGGCCATCCTGGGCTATATAGTGAGACCCTGGCTAAAGAAAATTATCACACATTGTTGCTCACAGGTTGGACTGGTAGTACCTGTCATTGCAGACCAGGGCACTGGTCCAGACAACAGCTTGGATGGGTAGAGCAGGGCATCTCACATGCCACGTGGAGGGGAGGAAGCCAGAATGTACGGGGATCGTCCAGGAGGGAGGTGGCAGGGCAGGGGAGGGAGGGATTGTGTCGGGGAGAACTACAGGGAGAGGTGAATGTGTTCTGTGACGTGACGGGGTGAGTCACGCAGACGTGTCCACTTGTCCTGTGGTTTGGCTATGGTGCGTTTCCATCTTACAAACCTCAGCAAGAATCCTGTGTCTGGCATTGCTCAGTCTTGACACTTAGAGGTGGCCCTGGGTGCAGGTGTGTGCCTACAAGAGGGAGTCGGCCAGCGGAGGGCGCTGGAGAGCGGATGCCCCACCAGCTGACATGGGCTTTCCTGTCTCATCTGTCTGAGAACCCAACCTCCTGGGAACCCCACTGCCCTTTGGCTGTAATGGGGCCAGTGCCTTCTCCCCAAGGCCAGCAGACACCTCTTGTGTTCCTCCGCACCCCATCCATGAGGCATCAGAGCTGGGCACCCATAAAGTGCCCTGCAAAAATGTGCAGCTGGGTCACTGGCATGGAGGACCCAGCAGAGCTGACCTCATGAGGTCACGATCATGGACGAGAGTGGGGCTGGAATGCTGGGCAGCGGTGCCCTAGGAGTTGGTTCCTGTCGGTTCTTGGAGGGGGCTGCACAGGGGCCTTTTTTGAAAAGGTCCAGGCTGGGTGAGGCTGATCTGGAATGGGTTACATGTCCCCACAGTGTGCGTTGAGGGGGCTGTGCTTCTGGCTGGTTGCCAGTCCTTGAGACCCAGTTCCAAACCCATCTTCCAGTCATTTTCATCCATTTTGCTGGCTGGTGGAGTATTTCACAGCCAAAGCCTCTCATCTGTCACTTCTTTCTCCCTGGCCTGGTGGAGTAAAGCTCATGTCTGTCCCCAGCAGGTGGTCTTGTCTGCCTGTCCCTAGCAGGTGTCTGCTTGGAGTTGTCTAGTTCCACATTCTGAAAGTGACTGCCTCCCTCAGTTCACATGATCAGAAACCTCTGGATCACAGCTCCAGACAGAGACAGAGAGAGAGAGAGAGAAAAAGAGAGAGACTCCCTCTGTTGGAGGACAGAAATTTGTGCCTGCCGTTAATAGCCCTGCAGCCTGCCACCTGGCCCCAATATAGCCTGGTGGAGCATCTGAAGAGGCAGGGAGGGTGACTTGTCTCACTGTGAGTCCCTCCCGGGGTGAGCTCTTGGAACGGGTCAGTACGGAAGCTCACAAGCTCACAACGCCCACCACCATGTATGTTCAGAGGTGAGCCAGGCCCTGAGCGGCAGTAGAGGCTGCGGGGCACCCCAGTGTCAGTGCCCCACAGAACCATGGCCCAGGCAGGGAGAGGAGCAGGAAGGAGCCGAGGCCCTGGCTTAGCGTGCGTTGACAGCGCAGGCTGCCTCTGAGGATCCGTGAGGCTGAAGACGGTGGGCGGTTTTTAAGTGCTTGATGCAGGTGCAAGCGCTCAAGGCTCAGAAGCGGTGAGCAGCCGTTCATGTAAGTGGGACAGTGTAAGCTTTCCCCCACTAGCTGTGTCCTCTGAGCAGCACTCACCGTCCTTACACCTGGGTGCTGCAAAAGATGAGGTACCCACAGCCACAGGTCCCCGTTCCTGAGTCTTACCAAGACCAGGCCTGGGCTAGTCTGGAGCACCTCTGGAGAAAAGTCCAGATGCTCTTGCCCACAGATGGGGGTGTGGATCACAACTTGGTCTTCCAGGGGAGGTACCAGGGGCTCTGGGAAGACCCTTCTGGCTGCAGAGGTCTTCCTTGAACATAATGCACCCCTCTTCCTCAAGGGGATCTTCAGTGATTGACCTGCTCAGCCTAATAAGTGGTATACCAAAGTGAGGTTTGGGAGGGACTGGGGTTGCCTGCCTGGCGGGGGAGCACTTTGGTAACCGCCACCAGTGTCTTCGTGTTTGTGCCAAGCTCTTCTCCCTTCCCATCCTCAAAATGGGCCCCATGGTGGAGCTGAAAACCCTGATCTTCCTGTGGGGGGGTGCCTATCCTGATCCCCAGGGCACAGTGACCCCCTAGGGGGGCCAGTGGGAACAGGTGGGTGGATGGACCATCCACTTGCCTAGTTAGTGGAGGGGACCCAATCCATCCTCATGAGCACAAATGAAGCTTTCTTGTGTTGTAGGCCAGGCGGTGTTTCCCTGGTGCTAGTTTGGGAAACCTTTTTTGGGGAGTCTGTACCGGAGTTTGAATTCAAGACTTTGTGCTTGCTAGTCAGGCAAGCACTCTACTGCTTGAGCCACCCTCCATCCCTTCTGGTGCTGATCTGGGAAGTGACGCTCTCTACTCTGCTTCCTGACCACCTGGTGTGGGAGGCACCCACGTGTTGGCCCTGTACCCTTGACCTTCGCATCAGGGCCCTGGGAACCATGGAGACCCTGGGCTGAGCTGAGAGCACCTGGGCTCGAGGTCTTGGACATTGGCTGGGCTGTGGACAGGAGCTGGGTCCTGTCACTGCCCAACCAAGGGAGGTCTTTGAAGCCAAGTGTCTCACCCCTAAGCCTTCCGCCAGTATGTGCCCCAGTGTTTACTGCAGGGCTGGGGTAGGGAGGTCCTTCCAGGACCAAGGTGGACCCCCATGTACCTTTTGCACAGCCCAATTCAAATTCATGGAAGCATCCATTATGGGGGGTGGCCTGAGGCCCAGGCAGATGACCTTGCCAGGGTCATCTGGGTCTGTGCCTTCTGTGGACTTGCTCTTCAGCCCCTTGATCACTGCTCACCCCTCTTCTCCCTGTGCAGTGAGCATGACCTGGGCGAGGACATCTACGACTGTGTCCCGTGTGAGGATGAAGGGGACGACATCTACGAGGACATCATCAAGGTGGAGGTACAGCAGCCCATGGTAAGCTTGCCTCCCCACCATGCTCACAGCACGGCCTGGTCCCCTAGTAAAATTCTGGGCTGCCAGGGGCAGCTGTCGGGTGCAGAGGGATGTTTAGGGGTCCCTGACTGGTCTTTCTCCGTCCCCATGGGGCTCCCCTTGCAATCCCTCTTGCTTCTCATCTGCTCTGAGTGCCCCCTATGTGACCTCATGGCCGCCAAGTCCCTGCAGCCAGGTTGCCATGGAATTCTTCTTCGAAGGTTTCAAGGTTCTTAGTCCTGCCTTCCCGGGGAGCCTTAAAATAGTAACTCTGTGCTTAGTCTCACACAGCACGCCTCATTTTACCCCTTTGTGCAGAGAGCCATGAGACCGATACTGGCTCAATTAGCCAGCTGCGTGTCTTTTATGTTGGTGGATATTTATTTCCACGCAGGCATTGGCTAGTAATCTCTGTGATGCCAGTGAGCTCCTGCATGAGTTTGCTGCCAGCAGCTGCTGTGTGGAAGGTGGGGGTCCGGCTGGGCGGGATGAGGAGTTGGGGGCCTGTGAGGCAGGCCCTGGTGCTCTCAGACCCCCAAACTCCCAAGGGGTGGACCCGATGCCACATGCCAATTGTGGAGGGTTTTGATGCAGTTGTGTCCCTGAAGAAGTGGGAAATTTATCCAAAAGAGAATGTCCTGTCAGTGTGGAGTGGCCAGCTGGTGCTGGAGAAACAAATCTGGGAGAAGACCTGGAAAGGCCACTCAGAGAGCTTGTTCCCCAGGCTGGTGTGCCCTGCTGTGTCCCCAGCTTGTGGCGAGATATGGGAGGGCGTCCCAGCCCCCACAGCTGCCTGTAACAGTTTTTTCGTGTTGTCTGAGGGTTTAAGGATGATTTTCTTCCCCATCATGGCCAGGGCTCTTACCCCAGAGAGGACAGGGAGCCCTCAGGGGTGGGTGTTCCCCAGCCTTCCAGGGTAGTGTGAAATGGGGGCTGGAGGTCCCCCTGCCCCAGAACTAGCCTGAAATGACCTGTGAAACCCAACCAGTCTTCTGGGAAGAAGCTCGGGTGACTGGGACCACGTCACTTCCCAGTCTTGGCAAGCGGAGTGTCCTGGAGGTGAAAGTGAGTGTGCGGGAACAGTGTCCTGTGGGGCTAGTGAAAGTGTCCTCACCCCTGTCTGTCACACTCCATCTCTTGAGACCACATCCACACCTAGGCAGAGATCATAGAGGGGGCACTCCCTGGAGTCTGCTGCTGTCCCTGGTCCTGAAGGACACAGGGTTGTTTGCAGAACGTTGGGGCAGGGGACATGCTTGCCCCTGTCCAGGGAACCAACTGGCGTACTAACATTCAAGGTCGATGCCAGTGTTCACAGCTATCCTGGCCACCCAGGCCCCATGGGGACTTCTGCTGGTTGCTAGGGTCCTCTGAGATAAACAGCTGCCTCTGTTGTCCCCCTGTCATGACCGAAAGTAGCTGGGCAGTCTAAGTGGAAGTGGAACTGGAAGTGGAAGGTGATGGGATGGGGACTTCCCCAAAGAAAGATGAAGCCAGAGGCTGGCAGGTGCCACTTTTAGAGCCCAGGAGTGGGCAGACAGGTTGGGCGGCTCTAGTCCTGTGCTGCCTCCAGTGCCCCACCAGGCCTCAGGCTCACGCTGGGGTGGGCCTGGGGCGGGCGCTTCTGACTTCCCAAGCACGCTTGAGAAGAGTGGGCACTGCTGATTGGTTCAATCTCTTGTTTATTCCTTCATGCGTTCAGATTAGATACATGCAGGTAAGTGAAGGTAAGAGGCTGGCTAAGCGAGCGCCTGCCAACACTGTCTCCTCGTCTTGTTGGGGAAGTCTCAGACCCCTTTGAGAAAACTCGGCTCTGTTCCCGGGGAGGCAGCCGGGTTTCAGGGCTCTTGTACCTCAACACCTCCCAGAAGCCCCAGATAGCAATGGCTCCATCCCACTCTAGCCGTCTTGCATATCGCTTTGGAGCACTATGGTCCAGAGCAAGGAGGGGACCCTTGGGACGTTCTTAGAGGACGGTGGTGGTGTCAGGGCTGATGTGAGTTCAAGTGGACGGACATACATCACAGCACCACTTCACCAGGGCCTTTAGTGCAGTCTGCAACAGCGTGTGTCTCACCCTGCTCCCCAGGTCAGTGGTGCCCTGACCACATTCTCCCTGAAGTAGGAGCGCATCCCCTTGAATCCACCAAGGGGCTGTTACTTCAGGCCCCTGGCTGGAGGCCAGTGACCCCTCAGGGCCCATGTGGTGCTTACGTACTATGAAGTCTGCCTGGTGGTCGCTGTGAATGCCCAGAGAATGGGTCAACACGCCTGCTGGACAGGGAGGACCTGTGCCCACAGCTGGTGCCTCGAGCACCCTGGCCTATGTGTGGAGGCTCTGCTCCTGAGACCCTCAACCCATATGGTGAAAACTCGAGGTTCTGGGATTTGTTTGTTTTGGTGGTGCTGGGGATGACCCAGGGCCTCGGGCATACTCTACCACTGAGCCACAGCTCAGCCCAAGACTTAAAGTTCTGAACCAGGGGCAGGAGCTTGGGAGTCAAGAAGCCTCTGTGCCTTCCTTGGCACTGATCTTTGTGATAACCCCTCCTGTCCCCATGCCTCAGTTTCCTCAACTGCAAACAAGGGGAAGGAGTGGGGTCCCTCTATCCCCCCACCATCGGCAACCTCTTGACCACACCCGGGACAGGGTCCTTCTGTGTGTGGGGTGGCTGGGGGCCTCAAAGAGCAGATGCCCAGATGGGGGTAAAGGCAGCCAGGATCTTGGCCCAAGTCCCTTGTCCCCATAGAAAATGGGCATGACCGAAGATGACAAGAGGAGCTGCTGCTTGCTGGAGATTCAGGAGACAGAAGCCAAGTACTGTCGGACCCTGGAGGACATTGAGAAGGTGAGGCTGGGCCTCCGCCTTGGGAAGTGCCAGTGTCCCAGTGTTTGGGGTCATGCAGGGCCAGGTCTCCTGGGAGTGAGGTCACAGGATGACACCTTGGGGCAGCCGTGACAGGACAGAGGGGCCCCTTGGCTTTGCCATAGGCAAAAGGAGACCGTTCCACCTCCCCCTTTGCTGTGGCCCTCTCCACCCCATCCTACCTTGACTCTTCTCCCTGTGCGAGCATGAACTGGGCTCCTGGTGGCTTCCGTTCTGGAGTATGCGTGCTGAGTCAGGCCCGAGCCTGTATTCCCTGGCTCTGTGCGCTATCTCCCCTCCATGCTGTGGGACAAGCAACCCCTCCGTAGGTGGCCAGGAGCATCCTGCAGTGGATGGGGTCAGGCCTCAAGATGAAAACACTGACCCTAGCAATCCTGGTCATTCTACACCCCCAGCCTCCTGTCAGTGCCAGTGCACCTGCTCAGGATATCCCTGACACATGTGTGTCCTTGTTACTTGCCACCAGTGCTGACCGGTGCCAGACTGGAATCATCACTGGTTGTGGGTTAGAGTCCAGTGTGGCCATGATGGGGACATCAAATGGGGAATGAGCAGTCTCCAGCCTTTGGTGTCCCTTTCGCCCAGGCTGGCCTCACTGGCCTCCTTCATGGAGCTATTCTTGGGCCGTGGGTGTGGGTGTATGGCTGTGGCCCCAGTGCATCCTGCCTGCTGTACACTCCTGTGCTACTCTCAACATGTGCTGTCCCGTGATCACTGAGTGCCTCTTTGTGCCTGGTGCTGTGGCCTCATGGGCAGGCATCCTGCAGGCCAAGCTGCAGCTTGGACTTCTCTCTTCCAGAACTACATGGGCCCCTTGCGGCTGGTGCTCAGCCCGGCAGACATGGCGGCTATCTTCATCAACCTGGAGGTGAGCATCCAGCCCTGGCTCACACACATGGGAGCCTTGCAAGCTACCGCCCCCAGGGTCCTTGGCGAGCTGTGTCTCTGCCAGCACCACTGCTGACGGATGGCTGACAAGTGGGAAAAGAGAGAAGCTAGACTATCTGAAGATGCTGGTTTTAGGAGGCAGGGGGACAAGGCTCCTGGGCATGGAACGACAAGAGCTTCTGTGCCTCTCTGTGCTAACTGGCAGTCATGGTACAGATGCCCGCAGCCCTGGAGCGGACTCAAGACTCCTGAGGACTGTGGGTGAGGCTCTGTCAGCAATAGAGGAAATGTGGCCCCCACCCGCCTGCGGGTGTCTGACCACTGATTTACGACAGGTTGGCAAAGCCCGGCAATTGGCTGGAGGCTCCCAAGGCCACGCATGAGTGGATGTCCTTGGGGAGACATCGCTTCTGGCTCTTCTGCTGGCCTCCATCAGTACCAGGGGTGGGCTCTGGTCTCATTCTGTAAGACCCAGATCCTGGAGCTTGTCATCTCTGTGCCCTGACTCCCTGTGAGCCATAGTCAGGACAAATGACCATGGACAGAAAGTAAGCCAGGGCAGGAAGGGGAGCTCCAGGTACTGTCCACCAGTGGACATCTGCTCTGAAATGGGACAACCCCTCCTCCCTGGACTGAGGCCCCAACTGCAGTGCATTCCACAGGCTATGAGCTGGGTACCAAGAGCCCCCTGTCCTGACCAGCAGGAAGGGCTGTGGGGATCCTGGCTAGGATGGGCCACTCTGTCTTCTCCATCCCCTTCTGGCAGCAGAGCTGGTCACATGTGTCCCTAGTGGCTGATGCAGACTGTGGAAGGCTCCTCTGTGTGTCTATTGAGGAACCTTCCAACTGAGTGGTGCCTGGCTCTCATGTGGGCTCTCGACGTGGAGGCCTGGGTGAGCTGGCCGTGCACTGACCACTCTTTCCCCCCAGGACCTGATCAAGGTGCATCACAGCTTCCTGCGGGCCATCGATGTGTCCATGATGGCAGGGGGTGGCACCCTGGCCAAGGTCTTCTTGGAGTTCAAGGAGCGGTGAGTGCTGGCTGGTGGGCAGTACCTCCGCCCGCTTCTGCAGGGCTGGGCTCCTGGGGTGGGATGGCAGAGGTGGGATTCACCTAAGTAGAATGTCAGGGTCTGGGGACAGAGGCAGGTAGCCATGCTCCTCTTGTGAACTTCGATCACTACCTACCCTCCCCCCAGTCTGGAGGGGCCTCTAGGGGCTCCAGCAGCCCCCTCTGCCTCTTATCTGTCCAGGTCTTGGTAGCTGTCGTTCATGCCATTGTAACTCACCTGCTGTGCACCAGGCCCAGTGCTTGGTCCTTGGGAATCGGACATCCTGAGGAGAACCACTTCTCAGTCCCCGGCCCGCTGCCCACCTGGTGCACGATTGGCCAGTCAGTTGTTTCTGGTGAAAGATAGAACCCAGACATGGCCTGTGTAGGTCTGAGTGAGGGACTCTGAGGACACAAGGACAGAGTGTGGTTGTGACTTCAGGCTTTGGGTACCCAGGGCTGAGACCACTTTCTGCTTTGCTGCTGACAACGCATGCACTGAGTCTTGGGGTCTTTTTTTTTTTTTTTTCAGTACTGGGGCTTGAACCCAGGACCTTCACCTTGAGCCACTCTATTTCCTATTTTTGTGAAGGGTTTTTTGCAATAGGGTCTCGCAAACTATTTGCCAGGCTGGCCTTGAACTGTGATCCTCCTGATCTCTGCCTCCTGTATAGCTAAGATTACAGGCGTCAGCCACCAGTGCCCTGCAGTCATGGTGTCTTGGTGACTTGCTCCTCTGTGAATCAGAAACGGGTGATATCTGTGTCACACAGTATGTGAGTGTGAGAGTCTTGAAGCCTACATGGGTCCTCATCCAATGAAAGGCTGCCTTAGCAGGGTGGGAAGACAGGTCCAGGCCTCAGTGGACAAGGTAGGGCCGTTCTGACATAAACTAGCTCGAGCCTCAGTTGTGGGAAGACGTGCTTTGAAACCTCAGCTCCTCTGCTCAGGTCCTCCCCAGGGCTCCTCCATGCCTCTGCACCTCCCAGGATAACTGTCCACAGAGCCCAGGGTAATTACAGATGTTGTTGGTCAGAATTCTGCAGCCTCTGAGTCCCCCAGGGCTCCTTTCCTCCATGGACTCCTGCCCAGGGATTAGGCCAGTGTCTAGACACAGAGGTGGCATTGAGCCTCGATCCTGCCAGATACCCTCCTGCATTAATCATGCCCATTAGGCTGGCTCATCCAGGTCTCTCATCCGGAATGGATGGGAAGAGTGACAACTCATTTAGAAACAAAACACAGTGGTCTGGAGGCCTCCATGGGTCTGTTTGATTCTTTGCTTCCAGCCCTTCCTTTGTAACCACGCAGATGGCACTAGTACAGAGTGGTCTTCCTCCCGGGACCATCCTGCTGGTGCTCAGCAAGGGGCAGCTGGGATTCTGGAAGCTTCCAGTAGGTGTGAGGGGATGGCTCTCAGCCCAGCAACAGATCTCAGCTTCTCCCTTTTGAGGCTCGGAGGCTGATCTGTAAAACAAGGGCACTGGCAAGGATGAGTGGAGATGGCAGGCAGACGGCTTGCACTCCCCGAAGCCAAATTCCTGGCCCAGGGCTTGGCTGTCTGGCCTGAACCCCACTGTCAAGGTCAGCTTTTGATAGACCTGGCCACGTCCTCCAGCAGGACCTTGCCTGTGTAGTGCCCCAGGCCCCGCCCTCTGGGGAGGGATGGACATCTTTACCCCTCAGTGCTCCTGCAGGAAGAGTGGTGCCTCAAGTACCATGCCTGCACTGTGGGTCCCGTCACTTGGCCAGGAAGGTGGCTGGGGCCCGGGTCCATGTAGGAAAGGCACTCCTTGTGCATACTCGGTCCATCAGCATGTCCTCATGGTCCCATCTGCCACTTACCCTCTCATTTGGGAGTTGACCCCAAGGTCCTGATGCTTCCTTGCTGAGTGATTTCATAAGCGTTTATAGAGTGCCTGTTGTGTACACCTCCTGAGCTCTGGGTCAAGGACAGAGTGGGCTTGGAAGGGTGGCAAGGATGCTAGTTGTCCTCCGAGGAGTTCATGGGGCTGTGGTAGAGCAGAGAGCCCAAGAGACATGGGGGACACAGGAGAGGATGGAGCAGCCTGCGAGTTTCTGTCCAAGAAGGCAGGGGCAAATTGGGTGGAGGGTCTTCCAGGCCAAGATAAGGACTTGGATTCTGTGTTTGGTTTTTTGTTTGTTCATTTGTTTTAATGAAAGTAGGAAGAAGCGACTGAGGGCAAGGTCACCATGGATGGAGGGCAGAGGAGCATCCAGGTGGCCAGCACCTCAGGGCAAAGGAAAATCACCCTCATCTTTTTGAGAGCTACACTTGCATTAACGTAGCCTCAGTCCTAAGACAGGGCCGAAGCAGCCCTTAGTCTTCCCATATGGGCCTGAAGGGGGCATCTTCACACAGAATGAGGCTGGGCCTCTGGAAGGATTTGCATTGTGCAGATCTGGATGTAAGAAAAAGCCACGCTGTGTGTGTCTGTGCTGGGACTGGCAAAGTTGAGCCACTTTCGGTGGCTTAGCCCTGTGGGTTGGGGCTCATGCTAGATGCATGTGAGGCAGAAGAACTGCAAAGGGAACAGCTGCTCAGTGCTGAGATGCTGGGTGAGCTGGGTAAGCGGCATCCTCTATGGGGCTGACACAAAACCTTCAGCAGAACAGGCCTGAACGCACTGTGAGGTGCACCGTGCCTCCCCGTGGTGTGTCAGGTGTGTTTAGAAGTGAAGGTTTGAGATGGGCAAGCCCTTGGGCCGCTGTGAACTCCGGTGGCTCTAAATGTGAGATCACAGCTTGTGTCTCTTCTGCAGGGTCCAGGTCTCAGGGAGGCCTCTTAACCCCAAGCTTGGGGTCCCAGGGCACGGCCTGCAGGAAGGTCCCCTCCTGTACTGACCTCTAGAGCTCCAGCAGGGTTCACTGTCTATTCCCCACTTTCCAGATCAGAAAGCTGAGGTCAGGAGAGTAGCAATGGGGTCGTGGCCCCAGTTTGTGGCTGTGTCCTCAGTGCTCTCCTAGCTCACACCTGTGATGCTTGATCAGCTCCACTCTGTCCCTGAGACATCCAAGAGTTTGAGGTTCTGTGGGTGAGAAGAAGTGGGCAGGCAGGAGGCTGTTCTGGAAGAACATCATGTTCCTCCTAGCGGGGTCAGAGCATGGTGTCCAAAAAGTTTGACAGCCTGGCTCCATGTAGATACATCCTGAACCTGTGCCACAGGCTTGTAACTCCTGAGGGACGGTGACTTCAGAATGTGATTGTTCAAGCGATAGACCCATCTCCTCAGCTCTGGAGGCCAGACTCCAAAACGAGTTTCACTTATCAAAACCAAGGTGTTCCAGGCTGTGCCCCATGAAGGGTCCAGGGAGGAGCTGCTGCCTCCCGTAATTGCTGGCGACTGCAGGCCTGGACTGGTGGCTGCGTCACTTGCATCTCCAGCTCCAGCTCCATGTGGCCTTGTCCCCATGTATGTGTGTCCTTTTCTTTATCTTTCATACAGAAATGTTGGGGCCATGGCCCCCAGATCTAGTGTAGCTCTATCCTGGTTCTTACCCCCTGACCTCTGCAAAGACCCTATTGCCAATCAGGCTACATGCTGTCACTCCAGGTAGACATGCATTTTGGGCCACTATTGGACCTGCAGAGCTGAGTCCTGGCTGGGCCTCTCTCCACGGCAGGCTGCCTTGGTGTTAGCAGGGAGTGTGTGCAGATGCTGCTGCCGGCCCTGCACCGCATGGGGGAACAGAACTGGAGCCCAGGGAGCAGGGTGTCCCTCACAGAGGCCTTTCCATGGGACTTGGGGAGCCACAAGGATTCACATTCTACTCTAGCCCTCACTGACCTTAGAAGGGAGGCTCTACCTGCCCCCAACCTGTGTCTCTGCTTTCCTGTCTGATCCTGCTGAGCCCTGGGGGGGGCGGTGGGAGGGTGTATGGAAGAGGGAGAAAAATGGTTGCAAATACTCATGGGGAGCTGTCAGGCACAGCCACTGCTACATGCACACGGCCTGCCTGAGAAGGAAGCTGGTCACTGCAGCATGGGTGTCTTATTAGATGGGCACGTGTGAGTGTCTTTCTAGACCTGTGTGCCATACGCCTGTTCCTGTGCACCCCCAGGCTCCTGATCTATGGGGAGTACTGCAGCCGCATGGAGCATGCCCAGAGCACGCTGAACCAGCTTCTGGCCAGTCGGGAGGACTTCAGGCAGAAAGTGGAGGTAACAGGACTTCCCGGTGGCCCGGCCTGGCCCTGGCCTCACTCCGAGATTGTGGCTCGCTGGCCAGAGCCCGTCAGGCACCAGCTTCCCTCATGCCATCCTGTGGGAAAAGCGTGTAGTGTGATATGTCCATTATTTTCCGGCATTTTTCTTCTTTTACATTTTGTTGGGTGGAGGCCAGAACACAGCCTGAGCCCTTTAGGGGCCGTGGAACTGGCCTAGAGATTAAATCCAAATTTAGCCAGGGACTGTGACATTTGACCCTGGCCTCTGCAGACCCCAGGGACCTCAGGTTACATTTGCTGGAAGTGAGGGGCCTCCTGTCCTCACCCCATTGTTACTTCAGGCTCAGTGCCTATATTTCCCACGGGAGCTCCTTTGTCTGGGGCAGCTCTTCCAACCAGAGTGTCTTTCTCCAGCCGTGGCTCTAGTACTGGTGGCCCGTGATGCTCCCAGGTTCTGAGAGTGATCCCACCGCCCTCGAGGGAGCCCTCCCCACCCTGCTTCTGCAGCAGACGGCGGATGGGGTGGACGCCCTGTTGCCCGCTCTGAGGGCCTAACCCCAAGGAGGAACAGGGTGTTGCAGGTTGGCTTGTGAGGTGCCATCAGGCGAGAGTCATTCAGAATTCCAATGTCCCACTGTGTCTCCATGGTATGAGAGATGACATGTGTTTCCCCCACACACACATGCTGTGACCACTGCCCCCTGCACACATCTTCAGGACAGGGCCAGCATCCCAGCCTGAATCTAGGTCTGAGGTCTAGTCTCTCCAGCTAGGCCAGGAGTGGGGTCGGGCTCTCCTGGGGAGAGGCACACTATCCACTCACCTTTTTCTTGCACCCAGGAATGCACGCTCAAGGTCCAGGATGGCAAGTTCAAGCTGCAAGACCTGCTGGTGGTCCCCATGCAGCGGGTGCTAAAGTACCACCTGCTGCTCAAGGTGAGGCCGCCTTTCCGCAAGTACGCAGGCTGCCTGGGGTGTGAGGTGCAGGCTGCAGACAGAGGTGAACATATGTTGATTAGCGATCCTATGTCTAATGCATCAGACCTGCTCGATCCATACTGTGAAATCTTAAGGTTATTACAGTTAATATGCACATGAAAATTATGACTAAAACCAGGAACAAGGTCAGAAAAATGGAAGGAAATAGAAAAGCATCCTCAGACCAAAATAGAAGAGCTGCTATGGTTGATTGCTTAAGGAAGTGTTTGAGCTTCCTAGTAGCCATGATAAAATGAGAACAGGAAGCTTTCAGGGAAAGATAGACCATGGAGTCTTCATGGTTCTTTAAGGCATCACCTACTGACCTGTTAGCCCAGTGTCTTGCTTTTGTCACTTTAATATTCCTTCCCACAGTAACCATCTCTCATTATCCACCCCTGTTGGAAATAGGGTGTCCCTGTGTGAGGGGGTCACTGTGTTCACTGGAGAGGTGGGCAGGGTCACTGTGTTCACTGGAGGGGTGGGCAGGTGAAGTCGCCCCTGGGCTGCTGGGTCCCCCAACCCCAGCATCAGCTAGGAGCCCGGGCAGGGATGGGCACTCTTGAGGGGTGACCTGGGGTTCTTCTTGTTCCTGCAGGAGCTCCTGAGCCATTCTACTGACCGACCTGAGAGGCAGCAGCTCAAAGAAGCACTGGAGGCCATGCAGGTGGGTAGACGGAAGCAGGAAGGTGCCAGGCCAGTGTGAGTGCAGCATCTGGACCCTGTTAGGTCTCGCGCCATACTGGTGACTGTGGACATTCCCCAGGGCAGCACAGGCAGGGCAATGGCCGTGATAGCTTAGCCCGAGGGGAGGGGGCAGGAGGCTGTGGTGGGAGCTTCCTGCAGGCACCTGCCTTAGTATGATGGCCCCCCGTCTCCCTCCTCCTGCTTTCCCAACTCTCTACCAGGTCTGTTGGGAGCTCCTGGGCACTGGGGGGCCAGGACTTCCTTGCCCAGTCCTCCAGCTTCTAAAGTGTCCATCCCTGGCCTGGTCTGTCTGCCACCTGCCTGGGTGGCTCCTTTTCTCTTGATGGTTTCAGCATTCTTTAGCCACTACACATCCTGTCCTTGAAAACCCGCTATCCTTGTAAGCTCAGCTCGTACTACTGCCCGGTTCGAAAACCTTCTGTTGCTCCCACTACCCTCTAAGTCAGGCATGTGCTCTTCAGCCTGTTGCTCAAGACCTTCAAGTACGGACACTTGCATTACATTCGCCACTGTGATTACCAGGAAAGCCCCAGATCAGGCAAACCTGATCACTCCAGACATTGCCAGTGCTCAGTCTGTGCTCTCCTCCTCGTCACCCGGCTGCCTCCTGCTCATCCTCCATCTTTGCAAGGAACTTGACATTTCCCAGGGAGGGTTGTTCTCCACCTCCCTGTTCTGTCCCTGGGACACTGAGTTCCTTTGGGTCACACTCATCCCAAACAGATTGGTTCATGAGAAGTCTTTAACCTAAACAGACCTGTGCTAGTCATGGTCACCCAGGTCCCAGTTGGGCACAGTGCCCAGCGTGGAATAGTTCTCCTTGGCTATGCAGTGGGGTGGCGGGAATACTACTCCCCTAGCACCTTCTGTAGCTACAACCTTGACTTCTGACACCTGACCTCTGACCTCAAACAGCCATTTGAGCTTCGAGTCCCCCCACTTCTTCCTAAGGCACCTTGTCTGTCTCCCTCTGCAATGGCCAGGTTGGGGAACAGGATGCAGCTGTTTCACGTTGTCTGAGGGTTTCTGGAACCAGGCCTCCTTCTCCTGGCCAAGTCTACCCTGAATCGTGCGTGCATTTGTGCGGGGGCTTGGGAGGTAATCACAGGACCCTTCGAGTCAGTGCTCCAGGGAGCGCTCTAGGCAACTGTGGCCACCCGCCACAACAGCAGAGGGACCACGTTGCCCCATTGCAGACACAATCCAGGTGGTGGTGACCTATTTCCTGAGCATGGGAGCCCACGTGGATCTGACCCTGGGGCGCATGAGCTAGTGTGTACCCATCCTCTGGTCATGGGGGCCGCCCAGACCCATCCCCAGGATGCAGGAGCCTTCTACATCTCTGAGAGCCCCAGGCCAGCTTCCTGCCTCTTCAGAGTTGGAAGGAATCTAAGCATCTTTCTGTCTGTTCCCGGGATGGAGTAGGAGGTAATTCACACAGTCAGCATGTGACCTGTCATTGTCCTTAAACTTGGCTTCCCCAGGACAGAGCCCTTGCTCACTGAAAGGCTGGGTCCTCTGTTAGTTGGCTGCTCTGCCCCTGGGGCAACCTGAGATTTGTCCATGAGACCATTCGGGGCTCAGCTCCTCCTCCCCTGGGACCAGGTGTATGTGGAGGCCAGGGTGGTTGGACAGCTGCAGGGCCCTGGCTGGTAACGGTTGCTGTCCTGTCATCGGGTTCCTTGTCTCTGGCAATTCGGTTCTCATTTTAAAGGCAAGTGGATGAAAACAAAAGACTATTTACAAAAGCGTGCTGCAGTATCCGTCAGGAAAGTTCAGCCCTGCCAGGAGAGGCCAGGGCTCTCTCACTGTGTGGACGGTGAGGTCCCCTTGGAAGCAGGAGAGGCCAGGACGGAGGTGGAAGCCAGCTCCAAGACCTGGGCCTGGCTCCCAGGCTCCTTTGCATTTCGGGGATTTCCACCCTGCCGTTTCTGGTGGGCAGGAGCAGTGCACTGTCCCGGCCAGCACTAGCCGCCATGTCCAGACTGCTGCAAACTTTGTGTGTCAAAGTGAGCACTGCCCCCTGGTGATCATCAGGAAGGTTGCAGTGTTGTGGAAAGGCACTGGGCTAGGGGGACCCTAGTGTCCAGTGTAGAAGGGACTCACTGACCACTCATTCTATCCAGGCTGAGGGTAGGCAGTGGCTTAGGAGTTGGACTTCCCCATAGCAAAGAGGTGGTTTGGTTCAGGTGACTGTTTGTGGCTGTGCCACATGGGCCTGTCTCCTCTGATTCTGACTTTGAAGGATTACTTTTGGGGTAGAGGGAAGCTGCCCTTGGTGCCTGGAGTTCGGGGCTCATGGCATTGTCAGTGACACACTCTCAGTCTGTGTGTTACATTTTCTGCCTTAGTTTCCTCCTCTGTGGTCATGCTTCTCACCCCATTGTCTTGAGGCTCAGCTGCCCCTGGCAGGATCAAGGAGAGAGCTCTGGAAATGCCCAGTCCTGGGTGGGAGTGGGGGCTTGGGTCTCACCCCACATAACTTGATGGGTACTAACCCCACCTCGTTTCCAAGGACCTGGCCATGTACATAAACGAGGTGAAACGGGACAAAGAGACCCTGAAGAAAATCAGTGAGTTTCAGAGCTCCATAGAAAACCTGGTAAGTGTGACGACTCACCCAGCCCACACAGATTCATTAGGGCCACGCAGGTGGAACCTCGATGTCAAGTAGGTGGAAAGTGAGGCACTCACTCAGGGCAGCCACACCAAGGCTGCCCTCTAAGAAGGTGCAGCATTGATGTCCACCCCCACTTCTGCAAGCCCTTATCCACTTCAGCTTATCCAAGTGCCCCTGCCCTGAAGATGGCCTTTGCTAAGGGACCCAGGGAAGGTCAGGTGCATATTGGTCACACCTGGTTCCCGTTCTCACTCCCAGCCTGGACACAGGAGGCGCTTTCTGCTCTGTGTACCTGGCCACCATCATCTTTGTTGTTCCCAAAAAAGGGCAATGGACAGAGGGGTAGCATCAGCAGGGACCCCTACCCAAGAGTTGTGCATCAGTTGTGCCCTCCCCCTGGACTCCCATCAAGTGGGACTGACACTTCCAAGGATGCTGTCCATAGTCTGCTCCATCAGTGGTCAGCTTGGCCATTTCTGGAAGCAAACACTGCTAGGTTTGTGCTGATCTCTCCAGGATTTGCCATCTCTGCCTCGGCACTGCACATCTGGGGCTGAGTCAGTCCTCGTGGTGGGGCCTGTGCATGGGGGGGGGGAGTGTTGAGAAGCATCCCCGGCCCCTACATCATGACTACCAACTGTGTCAACAGTGCCAGATGTCCTCGGGTGGTGAGGTCACCCTAATACAGAACCACTGGTTTGGATGCACATGTTTTCACTTCCTGGTGACTTTCACTCTCCCAAGCTTAAGCAGAGGAGTCCTAGATGCTCAGGCTGGCACCTGGGCCCATGTGTCCATCTTCACCCATTGGGGACAGAAGAGCAGAGAGAAGCCTTCCATAGACCTGGGACATCACGAGACATCCACACCATGCCGTCAAGTAGGGGACAAAAAGAAGTTGCAGGGCAGCGTTAGAATTCTGCCTCGTGTTTCTGTTAGAAAGAAAAATGTCCACATGCAGAGGAGGCTAAGAGTGCATGTGGCCCAAACCGTCAGCCCCCAGCACGGTCCAGGTACCTCAGTGATCATCAGTGTTTTCTAAACATTGCACAGTGGTGGACATTATTTTTGTAACACAAAGAAGAAATTTGCTTTTTTTAAAAGTTTTTAGTTATGGCTTATACTTGCTCCTATAAATGACATGAAGAAAAAGTGTTGGTTGACGGGCATCAGGCAACCCTGGAGCTTCCTGTAGGTGGTGGTGGCCCTTTCCTCTGCACCTGAGGAGTGAGACACAGAGGCTTGAACCAGTGCTCATCTGCTCTGGGTGACACCAGAGCCACCCCTGGCAGTTGCTCTCAGTGGCTTTCCGGAAGTGCAGGGAACTTGGAAGCATTGCTGCCAGTCTCACTGAGGCTGCACCCAGGCCCGGCCATTCTGTCTGGAGTTTCCCCTCTGCCTCATCCTGCTGGTGTAGCCCATCCCTTAAAAGCCATGCAGGCAGCATGTGAAGCGAATCTCTCTGGATCAAAGCAGAGTTACAAAGCGAATGCTGAAAATGGAGCCTTAGTAGCCCGTGGGGACTCTGGCCTCAGAGCTCCTTCCTGTTGAAGACAAACCATTGTCAGGACCCCTGCCCGGCTGGCTGCCCCTCCATCTGATAAGCACTGCCTGTTTTCTGTTTGTTCTCGGGGTTGGGCGTCTGGCTTTTCCTACCAGGTCCTGCTCTGGGCTTCACACAACTGCAGTCTGTTAACATGACCCAGGCCATCAATCGCTCTTTGTTCCCAGGACTGAAGGGAGTCCCTGGTGGGACTGGCAAGGAGTGGAGACAGGCCTCTGGCCCCATTCCGCCCCCACCTCTGCTCCCCCAATCCTAGGTACCGGCCCCAAACCACGTGGGCACATTTCCCTTGTTCCTGCCTGGGTTTCTGTGGACCCCCACCCTGGGCACATGCTGTGTTTGGGAAAGCTGATTGGGGCCTAGCATGGAGCTCAGAGGCCTTTCCTTTCTTTCCCAGCAAGTGAAACTGGAGGAATTTGGGAGGCCAAAGATTGATGGGGAACTGAAAGTCCGGTCCATAGTCAACCACACCAAACAAGACAGGTGAGCCAGCTGGAGAGGGCAGCACCCCTATCGTCTGGCCCTCCAGTGCAGAGCACCCACTCCCAAGTGGCCTGGGGTCAGGCCTTCCTGAGGAAAGAGCGACTGCCCGGCAGGCATTGTGTCATGTGGTTCTAATTGCTTCCTTCCTTCTCAGCACAAACGTCGGTACCCGTGTCAGCAAGTGGCTTCTGCAACGGTGGGGCTGCCCTGCCCATGGTGGACACTGGGCTGGGTTGGGGGGCAGCCAAAGGCAGGGGTGGGGGCCCTTCCCTCCATCTCACAGCCTCCAGGGAGCTGGGCCAACCCAGAGTGACCAGGTGAGCTTTCTGCCAAGTGTCTGCCCTGTAGTGAAAGGGCAGCTGGCAGGGAAGGCTAAGGAAAGGTGTCAGTGTCCCCACGGGCTCAGAGGCCTCTTCATGTGCCTACTGTGTGCAAGGGGCAGGGTCACAGCAGCTTTGGGTCCTGTCTTCAGGGCTTTCAGTCTGAGAGGTCAGAGATCCAAACTGGCAGTGATCTTCAGCTCAGTGCTGTGAGGGGTCCAGGAGGAGGGTGGTGGACAGGAGGAGGGGCAGGCTGAGGAAGACTTCCTGGGGGGGCCACAGAGTCCTAAGCAGGGGTCAGTGGACCAGGTGGACAGGCAGAGTTTACCCTAGGAGGGGCAGCTTATGCAGAGGCTCAGCCTTTCTGTCCTGACTCCAGGTCCATGCTGCTTATTCTGTGGCCTCAGTGACAGCTGGCTGGCACTGGGCAGGGGCTGCCCTCCCAGCATAGTGCAGGACTGTCACCCAGGAGGTGGGACCATGCTGATGCTCCAGTGTGTTGTCTGGGCCAGGTACCTGTTCCTGTTTGACAAGGTAGTCATCGTCTGCAAGAGAAAGGGCTATAGCTATGAACTCAAGGAGGTCATCGAGCTGCTCTTCCACAAGATGACAGACGACCCCATGCACAACAAGGACATCAAGAAGGTGTGCCATGGGCTTTTTGGGGTGACAACGGCCTCTCAAGACGGGGTCACGCTAGGCCAAGGGAGGCCCAGGGCCCCATACTAGGACACATACCACTAGAGCTAGCTGAGGCTGAGCCCATGGACTGGGGTGGTTGGCAGGCCTTGCAGACCCCCCTTATCCTCACCTTGTCATTGTGACTGCTGCAGGTGGCACCCACTGCCAGTAGTCACCATCAGGACTCTAGCTCCATAGTGAGGAGACTGAGGCAGAGGGAAGACGTCTTGCTCAGGAACCCTGGTGGCTTTTTCCTTTTTTTTTTTTTTTGATGGTACTAGAGTTTGAACTCAGGGCCCTGCACTTGCTAGGGAGTCTCTCCACTGCTTGAGCCACTACTCCAGCCCTAGGCTTTTGACCTTGACTTTAAACCTTGGCTGGCCTGACTCTCCCATATTATACCTTGTAGCACACAGGCCTACCTCTTCCATCCCCACCCTTGGTCTGTATAGATAAAGGGTATGGAGGGAATGGTTGTGGCTTGTCAGGGGCTCTGATGTCCAGTAGGCTGGAGGCCGAGGCCAAGGCCAAAGCTGTGGCAGCAGGGGCTCTGTGCTCTCTGGTTCAGTCCTGAATCAGCTGAGGCTTCTGCACATAGCACTGGAACACCTGCTGTGTGCAGCCCTGCCAGGTGAGTGGGGCAGAGCAGGAGCCAGCTGCTAAAAACCCTTCACTGACCTTCAGAGCTTGCAGTGCAGGCTGCAGAGCCCCTCACAACCCTGGTGTCTGAAATAAGCAACTGAGGCCCTAGGGGCAGTGACCTGAGGCCACTCCCTAAGCTCAGGGTAGAGCCAGCTGAAGTCCACTTCCCCTTGAGAGGGTAGCCCTTTCCCTAGCTGCCCCAATACCGGGTACTTGACAGGGGCCGTTGACAGCACTCCATGCTGCAATGATAGGGGCAGGCCAGGCCTCTTATTGACTGCCTCCCCTTTCCTTTCCTCTCATGCTTCCTAGTCTCACGGGAAGATGGTAAGCCCCTGGCACCCTCCTCGCCCTCCTCCTCTCAGCACGGTCTGAAGCTGGCCCTTTCCTGCTAGTGGGTCTGGGGCCTATGGACCCCAGAGGTACAGCCTCATGGCTGTCTTCCTGTTCCCTCCACTTTTCAATCATGAAAGTGACACATGTTCATGATAAGGACTTGCTGTTACAGAAAATGTGAGCTGAGAGCCCCACGCGCTGCCTCTCCTTGGAGGTGAAGGTTGGAGTTTCTTGACCTCCTGGCAGGGTTTCTCCATCTTTAACCCATTCGTCCTCCTTCCCTCCTCCTCCCTTTGTCCTCTCCTTCCTTCCCTCCTCCTCTTCTCTCCCTCCCTCCCTCTTTCCATCCCTCCCAACACAAACTGGCCCACACTCCCAACTCTTCCCCACACCCTACCCCACCTCTTGGGAGCTGGGCCACTTGGCCACAGGCTCCCCAGGCCCATGGCAATCCATCCCCAGCTCTTCTTCTTCTGTCTTACTTCAGAGAAGTGAGTTTTTAGCACTGCCCTGGGGAAGTGAAGGTGGGCAGGCAGGGTCGCGGAAGGGCCCTGGGCAGAGGCTCCCTGGGGAACCACACACTGAGCAGCAGATTTGGGCTGAGGGCCCATGGTGGAGAGGGTAGGAGAAGGGCCCAGATATCCTGTGGGAGTGTGGGTCCTGGAGCATGCGTCCTCGTGTGCAACACAGGTGTGCACACCACAGAGACAAACACGGACCCAAGTACATCAGTCCACATGATCCACAGGCTGGCCTCATGTACACGTGTGAACACATGTGAAGGCAGTGCACACAGCACGGGTGCACATGCATGCACTCAACACCTGTGCCTGTGCAGAGACACGGCACACGTGTGCATGTGCAGACACAGTACATATACACATGAGAGCACTCAGGCACACAGTGCACATGCCTAGAACATGCAGGAGTGAGTATATTTGCACGTGCACGCACAAGAGCACACTGTTCAAGCAAAGGTATGGGGGCGCACACAGGTATGCACAGGTGCACATATAGAACTTGCAAGAAAGCAAGTGCACAGACGTGAGCGTGCGTGAACACGGGCGAGGACACGTGTGCACACAGTGCTGGCAAGGGAGCACGTGGACACGTGCCAGGTCCCGAAGCCATGGCAGTTGCGAGCGTGTCCCCTGCACCCCACAGTGGTCCTACGGCTTCTACCTGATTCACCTTCAAGGGAAGCAGGGTTTCCAGTTCTTCTGCAAGACAGAAGACATGAAGCGGAAGTGGATGGAGCAGTTCGAGATGGCCATGTGAGTGGGAGGGTGGAAGGTCGTGCCCTTCCCCAGCTCCGGGCTCTGCTGGATTTGGTGTGGTGACCCTTTCTGATAAGGGCTGGTGGGAGGCAGGTTCCAGTGCCCAGTGTGACAGCTTCTTCACCCACGGGGTGCCAGCCCCACTCAGTGGTCCATAGCTATTTAACTGACTCCAAAGCACTTCAGGTGCCTGCCATGAGCTGTAACTGTGTGTGTTTAGATTCTGTACGTAATGTGATGTACAAATCTTAATACAGTTGTTTGCCTCCCATCCTGGGGACGTGTTCCGAGACCCCAGCGAAGGGGTAGTGTAGTAACAAATCCTAGTGTGCCGTTCCCCTGCGTACACTGACCTTTGAGAAAGTTTGAGTTATAAATTGAGCACAGAAAGAAATTAAGAACAACGAATAGTGAAATAAAACTGTTGTACATGTAACAAAATCACTACCATCACCACACTTGCATTTTGGGGCCATTATTGAGTAAAATAGAGTCACTTGAACCAAAAGTAGTAAGATGCCGTGACATCTAATGCCAGGTGACCACTAAGTGAGTAAGCGGGGTGCGGGGGCAGCGCATGCAGCGTGGATTCTCTGGACACCGGTGGTCACGTGCTACGTTGGAGCAGATTTCGCCATCCTACTCAGAATGTCATGTAAAACCTATGAACTGCTCATTTCTGGAGAGTTCCATTTAGGATTTTCAGATCACAGTTGACCAAAGGTAACTGAAAGAAAGTAAATGCACAGATAAGGAGGGCAACCGTATATGCTTGCCAAGTTTGACAGCTATCTACACATGCTCACCCCTGGGCCGTTTTTAAGACATCGGAACCTTCCACCTCACCTGGAAGGTTCTCCCAGTTGGTCCCACTCAGTGGGCTCAGGGAGCCTGGCAGTGCAGCTCCTGCTGTCCCTCTCACCAGGTCAAACATCAAGCCAGACAAGGCCAACGCCAACCATCACAGCTTTCAGATGTACACGTTCGACAAGACCACAAACTGCAAAGCCTGCAAGATGTTCCTCAGGTGAGAGCCTCTTCCAGTACACCCTGCTCCAGGACAGCCCTGGGCTCCAGAGAGCTCAGGGCTCGCCTGTTCCATGTCCCTGTGGCTTCTGACCTACCACCCTGGCCCTATGGGCCCTCTTCAGGGCCTGAGGAACCAGAAGAGTACCCATGAGAGTCAGACAGACCTCGGCCCTCAGAGTCTTAGGTCCAGCCAGTGGACGGTGTTCCTGGGTGCTTAGGCCTGGTGGGGGCAGGGGATCAGGTGCCATCTGACAGAAAGGGTCCTGGAGGCTCAGGGCTATGAGGGATGGATGCTCCAGGGCAATGCCAGGCAAGTCAAAGGGTGAGGACAGGGACCCTGACCGAGGCTGAGCATCCCAGGATCTGGGCATGGCCTTCACCTCACCTCCCACCCTCCCCTATAGGGGCACCTTCTACCAGGGCTACCTGTGCACCAGGTGTGGCGTCGGGGCACACAAGGAGTGTCTGGAGGTGATGCCCCCCTGCAAGATCAGTGAGTACCAAGCCCCACCTGGACTGTCCCGTGGGCAGCCGTGGTCACCTCCGCACCCTGAGCTGCTGGTCCCTCTTTGTCATGTCTGTCCTTTACCCACTCTGGTGCCTTGCTGCACAGCAAGGCCGGGTGAGAAGCTGAGGCTCAGAGAGGGGACACCTTACCACAGTCCTCACTCCTGATTGGTCCTTGAGGATATTTTCTTCTTGCACCCTCCCCCTGCCGCCTTCCAGGAACCCCTAGAATCCACACCGCCCAAATGGGCACAGTGTTCTTAACAGGTACACCAAGGTTCCCAACCAGAAACACCCACCGTAGTTGTCTCCTGCTCTCTGGCCTCCCTCTTGGAGAGACTTGGCCAGCTGTAGTCACAGGCATGTTAGTAAATGGCCTGCGTGCACACGCACACACAGCGCTGACGGTGTCCTTGTCCCCTCGTGCCCAGTTGTCACATGGGTACCCTGAGCTTGGGGAAGCGGGTGGGCCTTGCTGGCAGTGGCAGGGGCCCAGCAGCTCCTCTGAAGTATTTGCCTTGGGAATGATTTGGGGTTTTGCAGAAGAGGAGCCTGGCTCAGAGCAGCTGGACAGGTGACAAAAGGCCTGTGGTAGTCCTGAGACTTTCGGGGCTTCACTGAGGGCTGGTTTTCATGAAGGGTGTGTGTGTGTGTGTGTGTGTGTGTGTGTGTGTGTGTGTGTGAGATTGAATTCCAGGCTCTTCCACTAAGCAAACCACTGCCCTGAAGCTTCCTCTGAAAGCACAGACATGGCATTGACTGTGCCAGGGGACAGCCCAGGCAGCTGGGAACACCTGCTGAACGCCAGGCCTGGTTCCCTCTGCTTCAGATGGGTAGCTCTGTTCCTTGCCACTCACTGGGAGACAGTGCCTTGTCACACTGCAACTTACACCTGAGAAACTATGCTCAGAGGATGCTCAGGCCCAACTCCCAGGACTCGTGAGTGGTGGCAGGATTTGCAGGCAGGCAAACTGACTCCACATCTGCCTTCCTGGTGGTATGGACTAGGCCCTTTGTGCTTGGTGTGTCGTGGGGGTGGTGGTCACTGCTCTGCAACTGGGCTTTTGCCTTGTCACTTTCATCTCTGGGAGAAATCTAGTAGGGTCACATCACCTCCGTTGTCATCCCAGAAATCTAGGCTTGATACCATCATCGCTATGGGGTCCCACCAGTGAGGTCTCCAGGCATCAAAGGATCTTCAGTGTCCCCAGTCTGTGCCCTTGGGCTGTCCTGTGTTTAGCCTCCTAGAAGTCAGAAGACAGTTCAAGCTGGCTTCTTACCCTCAAGACTCCACCACCCAGAATATGTTTTGAGCCATGAATTTATATATATGGGTGGGGCTGGGACTGGGGGTTGAGCTCTAGGGCCTTGCTCTCGCTAACACTTGAACCACACCACAGCCCTTTATGCTTTAGTTATTTGTTGAGATGGGGTCTCACAAACTTTTTGTGTAGGCCACAAGCATCCCCATCTCTTCCTGGCCTCCTGTGTGGTTGGGGTTACGGGTGTGTACCATTGCACCCAACCCCAGATCAATGTTTTATTCGTTAATTACTGTGAGTGCTGGCCACCCAGACCTTTTGTCCAGTCTCCCTGCTAGAAGCCTCCCCGTGGCTCTCTGGCCTGGATCTGGCTCCTTTGCTTTGCCTGTCAATACTGCCCTCTTGTGGTCGCATGCCCCTCACACAGGCAACTGGTCGTAGTTCCTACAATTTTTTTTTCTGATTCTAAAAGTAACACTTGATTATCAAAATAACAATAATAACAAATAAAAAAATAAAAGGAGGGGAAAAAAGAAGAAAACAAACATGACCCTTGAACTTAACCCGAAATAACCAAAGCAATGTGTTGGCCTATTTCAAGCTTTCTTTTTTTAGAAAATAATCTTTCTGGGTTTTTTTTTTTCCCTACTGATCATGAGATGCTCATTTCCCACAGGAAACTTAGAAAATGTGGTGAAGAAGAAGAAAACAATTCATGATTCCTCTAGACAGAGACAGCTACCCATAGCCACATGGGCCATTTTCCTTTCTTTTGCAAGCACACCCACCCAACCTCCTTATGGTTTCTTCTTCTCTTCGTAGATATCACGGGGAGCCTGCCAGATAGGCCATGCTGGAGTCAGCATTGGCATTTTCCCACGTCTCCACAGCCCCTGGGTACCAGTCAATATTTACGGGCCTGTGACTCCCCCTTGGGTGTATTTCATGGTTCCTTTTCAGCCACTGTGCTGGGGCCCTGTCCCAGCCACTTCTAGCTGTGCTCCTGGAGCGTATTCCAGCTGCTTGAATGTGGGATTCAGCTCTGAGCAGTGCTCCTCTACCTTTGGACTGTCAGGGCTGACACCGAGGCAGGTGAACCATTCTTTTCGCAGAGACCTGAGTGTCCCAGGACGGTGCCAGTCCATTCCAAGAGCCCTGCTGTGGGGAGTCCTCCAGGGGCTGGGCAGGGCAGAGCCTGTGCTGCTGCCCCAGTGCCTGCTCTCTCAGCTGTTGTCTGTGTGTCCAGGGTCTGTGCCCAGAGCAGTCTGCAGCTGTGAGCGTCAGTGTTGAGGTCCTGCCACTCACACGAAGTAGCTGTTGTGGTCCTTGTGACCAGTGGTGAGGTGCGGCCCAGCTGGGCACACGATGGGGTTGGATCTTGCCTCACACCTGACATGCTGACTTGCCTGGTACTTCGAGCATGCTGGTGTCTATGTGTCATGGAGGAGGGTGGCACCTGGGAGCACGTGCACCCACACCTCCTTATCACTTGCCCACAGCTGGCATTGCTGATAAACTATGGAAATCTCCACGTGAGCCTGGTACCACCCAGAGACCCTGGCCGCTGCTGACATTCACACAGAGTTGGCCAGGCAGGGAAGTCTGAGCCATCATGGGTCTGATATCAGCCTGAGCTCCCCCGGGGGCTTAGAATTTGCTGTCAGGGCAGTGGAGAGACTTTCACAGTCATGAGGCTAGGTCTGTGTGTCCACAGTCCACCTCTGCAGCGAGCCACCTGGCAGCTGCCTCTCACAAAGTCAGCCTGGCCAGCTGCTCCCTCGATGTGAACATGGGGCTTGTGGGCCTTGGTGTCACAGCTTTCACTGACCCTAATTCACTTCCTTTACAGGTTCTCTGGCAGATGTGGTAAGTTCTCCACACCCTTCCCCTTCCCTGGGGCCATGCGGCATGGAAAAGGGCCTTGAGCAAGGCAGCCTGGGACCCCCATAGTTGGAGTCCTGTCCTGGCCAATCAACCTTTCGGCCTGCCCAGGGCTTGCTGGAGCTGGGGCTGTGGCTCGGTGACCTGCACTGCGCACCTGCCCCAAACCTGTGCTATTAGCACAGAGCCCTCTGTTTAGCTGACCTGGGGATGAGGTCACTGAAGTCACTTGTGGGACATGGACTCTGTGTCTCCCTCAAGCGTGAGGTCCAGTCCCGTTAGCCAGCACTGAATGGGCTTTTACCCTGCAAGGAGCACAGAGTTGCCTTCGTCACACAGCATCTAGTTGTGCTTAGCAGGGTGTGGCCCAGATGGAGGGCGGGTAGGGTCAGGTCAGGCTTCCTGATGGTGGTGGGAGGAAGGGAGAGCACAGGTTGAAGGGTGTATAGTGAATGTTGGGAAGGGGGTCTCAGGTAGGGAAATAGTGTTGTAAATGCCCGTGGAAGGCCAGGACTTGGTCCTGCCCAGCTGCTCTCGGCCTTGACCTTTCCATGGCAGTGGGGAGAGGAGTGAGGGGGTCAGAGGTTGAAGAGAGCCTCCCTTTATCACTGTCCTTGTCCTAACAGGATGCGTCTGGAGCAGGACCAGGTGAGTGTGTTGTGCTTGGGCCCTCTGTGCTGATGTCCACATCAGCAGCCATTCTGGAAGCCAGGACTGAGTGCTTTGCCCAGCTCTGGGATTTTCCCATCATCGCCAACCTTGGGCATCTCCCTTCCTCCTACCTCCCTGGCTGCCTGCTTGAGTCTCTTTAGGTTCTGATCAGGGAGCACTGGGCCATGGGGACAGGGCCAGCCTGCAGAGAGCCCAGGTCATTCCAGTCCAGGGAGAGGTGTTGAGGTGCTGCAAAAACACTGAGCAGAGCAGGCGTCAAGTGTTCAGCTATTTTTTACTGCATCCTTCATCTCTTCCCCTGCCTCACTTTTGAGGTCATCTGATTCTATGCATATTTCAACACAGTCCAAGCAATGCTGAATTAAGTCTAGACTTCATCAAGAAGAACCAAATTCCTCCTAATGGGCCATGGAGTGAAAACCAGGTCTGGCAAGAGTCGGCTCCATGGCTACTTTGAGCACCTGGGGGCTCGAGTCAGAACAAGGCACCATCAGAGACCAGCCTCCTATGTCTTGGCAGATCAGCCCAGCACCCCATTTCAGTCCCAGACCCACCTCTCACCAGCTTTGTGCCCTTTGGCAAGTCATTGGGCCTGCTGACACCAAGCACCCTATCTCTAACATGAGGGACCCCTGTCTTCTGCTCCATACTGTAAGTCCCAGATCTGAAGGGTATGTCCTTCAGATAAAGCGTCCTCTGACAGTGAGTATGTTACTGGGACTTCCTTATCAAAGTAATGTACTTGTGAGATTTATCAAAAAGACATGGGAAGGACTCAAGAGGTGCCATGCAGGTCATGGGCCTGCCTATTTCAGGGATCACCTCTCTCTCACCAGAGAGTTCCCCAAGACCAGAAGAAGGCCAGTAATAGAGTAGGCTGCAGGCTGTCTAGAATGAGGTCACCGTAAGCTGCCCCTTCCTACCTTGTCATCCATAGGTCCCAAGATGGTGGCCGTGCAGAATTACCATGGCAACCCTGCCCCTCCTGGGAAGCCTGTGCTGACCTTCCAGATGGGGGATGTGATTGAACTCCTGCGAGGCGACCCTGAGTCCCAGTGGTGGGAGGTGGGTTTGGGGCAGAAGTATGGAGGTTTGGGAGTGGAGACCATGGGTGAGGGAAGGGGCTGCTTGTCCAGGTCTTTGCCGCCTCCAGTCTGCACCGTGGCCTGGATTCTGCCCCAGCTTTCTCAGTATTTGCTTCATAGGTGTCATTTTTTGGGTGGCTTCACAGAGACCCTCTGCTGATGTGCAGGGCCTCAATGTTCTCACCTGTATAGTGGGACCATCTTTACCTCTGCTTCAAATGGTTACAAGGACAATTTAGGTCACAGCAGGAAAGGGACATTTATCCCAGGTCTGGATTCGTGTGGCTTTGTGCACCTCAAATGACCCCACAAGCTTCCCCATCATCTCTCCCTGCAGGGTCGGCTGGTACAGACCAGGAAGTCAGGATATTTTCCCAGCTCCTCTGTGAAGCCATGCCCAGTGGATGGAAGGGTGAGTCCTTCCTGTCCCCCCTCCTGGGGACCAAGGGCACCACTAGTCGGTGGCTTTTCATTCATTTCTTCTATCAAACCTCACGGGCATCTATGCCAAGTGAAGCTCCGGCCATGGCTGTGGGGACCTCAGGGCAGACAGTGCCAGGCCAGGGTTGGAGCACTGACATTCCCCTCCATGACCTCACCCTGTGTCCAGCCTCCCAGGGACTTTAACACGTGTGCTCTGCCCCCAGCCACCCATCAGCCGACCGCCATCCCGGGAGATCGACTACACTGCATACCCCTGGTGAGTGGGGAATGGTCACAGCTGTAAACGTTTGGTGGTCCCTCTGTCACAGTGGTGTCATCCCCCACGCCTGCTGTGAGCAGACCTAGAGCAAGGATGGAGGCCGCAGGCTGCTTCAGCTGCTTCTGTCTCTAAGGCAGGCTCTGATATTTGGGGCATGAGCCCTGTTCAGTGCAGTTTCAGTCGCGCTTCTTTGTGTAAGGTGTGGAAGAATGGCTTACTTATGGTTGAATTTGTGATCACTTGTTGACACACACTGTTCAGTGAGGCTGGGTTAAGTGAGGATGAAGGTGAGTGTTTCAGGTAGAGTCACAGGTGCAAATGAACCTTGGGCCAGCTTTTCTGAATCTGGCCTTGCTGTGTCAAGTGCCTAGGAGAGTAACTGGCCCAGGTGGCTGTGAAGCCCCCACACTGTTGTCCTGCAGTGGCCACACCGGAGTCTCTGTGTGTGACAGTCTCGATTCACAAGGGAGTTTCTGCACTTATCAGTGGGAGTGGGGCTTATCCCTGAAGCCAGTCCAGTATACCCACGTCCCTGCACAGTGTGTCCAGATGTCTGTGCCCCTGGCCTCTCCCTCTCCCTAAGTGTCACACCCATCTCTGAGAAGCCTACCCCATTCTGCACCGGAGGTGGCCGGCAATCGATTGTAGGTTTTTGCTTGATGGAGTAACACAGAGACACTTAACTTGGTAACATTGACTCCACCTTGGTTGCACAGTGTTAGAGAAGCCCATCTCTTGGTGGCAGGCTTGCTGGGAGAGTTGTGGTGAGATGTGAATCCATTCAAATCTCAGGGCAGATTCACGGTACCCACCGTGTCCCCTGATACACCCGAGTTAACAATCACGTCGTTACTGCTTTTTATTTATGCAATCTAATTTATTATCTATGTGACACTGGGAATTGAACCCAGGACTTTACACTTGCTCAGCAGTGCTCTGCCATGTGAGCCCGCCCCCAGCCCCATCACTGCTCTTTAAACGGTGAAAAAAGCTTTTAGAAAATGCAGTCTGAATCAGAATGATCTGTGTTGCCCCAAACACCTCTCACAGGCCCCAGGGCAGAGAACAGCCCATGGACTGGCTGTAGGCTCCCTTCTCTTATCCCTCCACCATGACATCTTTATTAAGCACCACTGTATACCCAGCTCACAAAGCTGGACCCACCCACTGTCACATCCCTACCGATAGGGACGCAGCCATGTCTTTTAATCTGCTCATCTCAACGATTAACACTCAGTTGAGGAATACAAAGTCAGTGGCAGGTGCCACATGCACAGAGGCCACCTTCCTTCAGCATTGTGGTCACAGCTTGGTTTCCTGGCCCCAGGTTTGCAGGCAACATGGAGAGACAGCAGACAGACAACCTGCTCAAGTCTCACGCCAGTGGGACCTACCTCATCAGGGAACGGCCCGCGGAGGCCGAGCGCTTCGCCATAAGCATCAAGTGAGTGCAGCCTTGGGGTCAAGGAGACTCTCCCCTGAGCCTCGAGTCCTCTGTCCCCCCATTCCGGGCATGTGGCTGGGGTCTGCTGTCTGATGAGATGAGAGAGGACCTGAGTGTAAGTGCTGGGCCTGGGTGGGGCTCCCCAGGGGTGCTGGATGTGGCCTGCAGCCCAGCCATGCTCAAGCACTCCACAGCCATGTCACCCTTGCTCCAAACTGGTTGGGATATTTTCAAGATCTGGCAAGTGTGTGGTAGGTACTGTTAGGGACCCGGCAGCCCCTCTGATGGATCTCAGAGGGTATGGGCTGTTCACACTGCTTCAGGGCAGCTGGAGATCCTGAGGGGAGAGTTCTTGCGGTGACGGCAGCCTTGTGGCTGCCTTCCCTGGCCTTCCTCTTTGGAAACTCCTCCTTTTGTGACTGCAGTCATACTCTGCTGGGGACAGATGGGTAGTTCATTGCCTTTGGCACAGGACACCCATGGACAAGTGCCACTGACAGGCCACAGGCTGGTGACAAGGGGCATCTGGCCTGCTGTGACCTCAGGGAGGTTGAGAGCCCCAAGCAGGGTAATCTCGTCTGGGGAAGGGCATGTCTGGTCTTACAGATGCTAGATGGGACAGACCCTGTGACCCAGCCACCTGGTGACTGCCTCTCACCATCTTGGGCGCTGTGGTCATAAATGACAAAGCCAGCCCAAGCCAGCAGAGACTGGGTTTTCTGTGGGGTTCAGAAAGACCACCCCCTGGTCCTGAACACAGCACACACTCCAATCTCAGCTTTCTGACTCCCTTTCCCTGGCATGCACTTCCTCTCCGTGTGTACCCAATGGGAGCCCACAGTGTGGCTGTTCCCAGCAGGCATGGACACGTGGTTTGTCCAGAGCAGGTGCAGACGGCCAGCACATGTCTTAACAACTGTGAAGGGGTGCAGGTGGACCCCCTGCCCAGCATCCAGGGTCAGGGTCAAGACAACTGCTGAGGGACCTGCAAGGTGGGAGGATGAAGGCCTGGAGGACTAGGAGTCAGAACCAAGGATAAGGCTTAGTCCCCCCTCAAACACTGTCAGGGCCCATCACTGCAAATGGTTGGGGCCTGAAACCAATGCACGGCTTTAGAATACAAAGAATGAGTGACCAGGTAGCAAGTGGCCTAGCAGGAAGGATCTGCTTTCTACAGAAGTGACTATCCCTGGCATGGCACTATGCAGAGACAGTCTTGGCCTGTCCACTGAGAGGACAGTGGATGCAGTGCATGTCCCTGTAGCAGATCTGTGTCCTAGGCCAGAGCCAGCTCCAAGCAATGAAATGGCAGGGATGTCATCTGCTCAGTAGGAGTTCAGAGAGTACCTTGTGAGTGTCTGGCTTGCAGGGCACCTAAGTGGGGGTCAGATGGCCCTGGCCCATGGGAACTCAGGGTTGGGGTGCACACACTCAGAGTGCACATTAATTCCAGAAGGACACAAGGTGGGCAGGAGGAGATTGGCTGGGTGGGCAATTGTCTATTTATCAGTTGGATTTTGCATTCACTGATTTCCGGGTGTTAAACCAACCTTGCATTCCTGGGACTTCACACCCCCCAGTCTTGGTGCAAAGTTCTTGTCAGGTATCCATTCATGCAGAGATGAGCACCAGGAGATGTGGCATGCCCCTCACTAGGTGAGGGTCCCTAATGTATGGTCCTGAAGGAATCCTTGTGATTCCTTTGGCTTTGGTGTCTGTTGGCATGGCCTGGGGTGGTTTGGAGAAAGGGTACCAGGAGCCTCTCAAGGCAGGACATGACTTGAACTTAGGCCCAAGGATGGTGGAGGGTGAGCACTGCAGGTGGGGAGGGGCAGCCAGCTTCAAGGCCTGGCAAGCTTATGCTTGACACCTCTCAAGTTAGGTGCTAAGGAAGATGTTAGGCTGGGTTGGGCTGCTCCCTGGGATGGAGGATGATTTCCCATAAAGGAGCCAAGCAGCAGGTGGTGCAGTACACTGGAGTGGGCTTCAAGCGGCAGGGAAGAGGCTCAAATAAGCCCCAGGAGACCTTCCCAGGCTGGGCGGGCCAAGGGCTGGGAAGTAGAGGGCAGGAGGGAACAGCTGCATCGGCAGTGTGGGGCCGAGATCAGAGTTTTTTTCTCCAGCAAACCTGAATAAACCTGAACTCAGCACAGCCCTTGTACAGTGATCATCAGGCTTTTCATTTATCCAGATTCAACGATGAGGTAAAGCACATCAAGGTGGTGGAGAAGGATAACTGGATCCACATCACAGAAGCAAAGAAGTTTGAAAGCCTCCTGGTACGTGCATCTGTGGCTTCCGCTGCTCCTGACCTCTGCGGAAGAGGCCAGGCAGCTTCCCCACCCTGCTTCCTGTTAACCTGTTCCCGCCCCATCCACTTTTCCTAGGAAGGAAATGATCCTTCCCAGTATGGGCAAGATTCAGGGAAGCTGGTTCATGAGGCTTCTGGGACTGGGAGCCATGTCACACCCCCAAGTTGGGACTTCTGACCTCCCCGAGTCTGTCCGGGGTGGCTTGACCCTGGTGGGCATTGAGGGTGCAGCCTGGTCTTGGCTACCATATCACTGTGACCCTCTGAGGTGCCTATTCCTGTGGGAGCAAAAACCAAGGCCCAGTAGGGTTTGCATCACAGACACATGGCTTTAAATAGCCCTTTCTGGGCCACTCCACCTCCAGGAATCTGGCCGAGCCAGGATGCAGTCAAAGTCACAATCCTTCTACAAGTGACTTTAGACTCATACCTGCCATTTCTTTTCCTTTAATCACAAACATTTCACATATTGAGAAACCCTGACTAGGACAGCGAGTATTTCCTTCTGTTCCATGGCCCCTGAAGCACAAAGGCAAACAGAAATTACCCACATTCTACCCCAAAGCAACACCAGTGTGCACTCTTGGCCAAGTCGTCATGGGTTCCTCTCCAAGCAGCACTGCTGTGGTTCATACAGGCCTTATTCAATCGAAGTGCTGGCTGTACCCTGTCACACCACAGCTTAGCCAGCCTCCAAGGTGACCAACATTCACTGTCACTGAATTCTCTCTTCCTGGCCACCACAAGGCATTTTGCCTATGGGTGTGTTCTTTCTAGAAGCTTGTCCCTGGGCTGGACACATGGTAATCAGCTTCCCTCTCTGGTAAAGGGTGTTACAGTCAGCAGTGTATTGGTCAAACTCCTCGTTCTTGGAGATTATTTCCTTCAGAAATACTTGGGAGTGTCGCTGCTGGGTCAGAGGTCTTAGAGACAATGACCACCCCACCCCAACCCCAGGGCTGGGCTAGGAGGGAGGAGTGGTGTCCTAGGGGACCAGGGAGATGTATCTCCCTCTCTCCCCACCCACACACACCCTGGACCAGGAGGTCATCTGGTGTGTGGCACAGTTGGTGAGTATGTGCCCCCTGCAGGAGCTGGTGGAGTACTACCAGTGCCACTCGCTCAAGGAGAGCTTCAAGCAGCTGGACACTACACTCAAGTTCCCTTACAAGTCTCGGGAGCGTGCTGCCTCCAGGGCCTCTAGCCGGTCCCCAGGTAAAGCCTGCACCCAGAGGTGTCTGCTCTGGCCCGCTTCCAGGGCCTAGGTACTCAGCGCCCACCTGCCCTCGTGTTCCTTGGCCCTGGGACCATGACCTAGTCCTCTACCTCTATCCCTGGCTCCAACCCATGGCCTTCTCCCATGCTAGTTATATGACATATGGGAACTCCACACCTGTTGTGCACTGCTGCTCTGTGTCTTGGGGCCTTGCCCAGAGAGCAGGCAAAAAGGTCTAGACTAAGAGACCCTGTGGCTGGAGTTGCCACTGGCAGGAGAAAGCAGAGGGCCCCACCTGCCCTCAGATCCCTCCTTGGGTCCCCAGGACCTCAGCTGGGAGAGGCAGCTATTTGCAGATGGGACTCTAAGGCCCACAACAGGGAAATGGCCTGGAACTAGGGGCAGAGCGTTTGGCTTCCAGCCCAGGGCTCTGTCTCTCAAGTAGCACCACATCCTCCAACCCACAGGAACCGACAGGGCAAGTGGGTCTCCCCTGCAGCCCAGGCACAGCAGGCCAGGGGAGGGATGATAGGTCTTCTGTGAGCATAGGCTGAGGGTGGGTGAGGGACAAGCCTGTGGGAGGAGAGCGGACATCATGCAAAGTGTTGTCCATGTTGTGCCTGGGCCTGGGCCCTGTGTCCTCCCTGGTGTCTTGCCTTGAGGCAGGGTCTAGTCCCCATGTGTCCCATGGCCGCCAGCTTCCTGCTACTCGTCTTACGCTCTCTCTCGCCTCTTTGCAGCTTCCTGTGCTTCCTACAACTTTTCTTTTCTCAGTCCTCAGGGCCTCAGCTTTGCCCCTCAGGGCCCCTCCGCTCCCTTCTGGTCAGGTATCGCTGCTGTACAGGGCCCTGCCCGGCCTGACGGGTGTGTGGCTACACAGCCCTGGGTGGAGTGGGGGAGGGAGGCTGGGGCCCAGGCAGGGGTGCTGCCACCCCTGAGGACACGTCAGACCGGGCCCTGCCCTGCCCTGCCGTCATCACCCTGACGGCTACTTCCTCACCTCATCAGCTGTCCTTCCTCATGGCCCATCAAGAGCTCTGCCTCTGGTTGTGGAAAATGGTGTGTGGTCAAGAGCAGAGCCTCAACTTGTGTGGCGTCTGTGAAAGGGCTGTCATGGGACTTGGGTGTGGGAGGATGGGGGTTTCATAGTCCCTGACCACATGGCCATCCACTGCCAGAGCCAAAGCTCCTCCCCATTGGCTACGTGTTTCACCATCATTGTCACCTGCCCCTCAGTGATCTTGGTTTCCGGGCTGAGCTGGTTAAGCAGGTTTCTAGTCTGGTTTGGGGGTCTGCAATTGGACAAAGCACGGGCACCTGCTCTGGTCCCCAAGAGTGTGCACATTGCCTGTGATGCCTCCCAGAGCAGGTAGCCACAGCTCCAGTCCTCTTCAAGAGTACCGTGTGCCCAGGCCCACAGAGGTGTGAGAGGCCCTCAGATGGAGGCCAGCGTGTTTCCCTTGAGTCCTTCCGTTTGATGGCCTTCCTCTGTGGGCACTAAGAAAGAGACCCAGCTTGGCCCGAGGGCCTCTCAGCCTTGGCTGGGCCCCTCCCGCATCTGTATGATGCCCCCCTCACCCGCGTCTCACCCAATAGTGTTCACGCCCCGGGTCATCGGCACAGCCGTAGCCAGGTACAACTTTGCAGCGCGGGACATGAGGGAGCTCTCTCTACGGGAAGGCGACGTGGTGAAGATCTACAGCCGCATCGGTGGGGACCAGGGCTGGTGGAAGGGCGAGGCAAATGGACGGGTGAGCAGCCTACCCTGGTTGCACGAGACTGCAGCGCTGGTCTCCTTGCCGTGGCAGGGTGGCGGGCCTTGGCTGTGACCTGGTCAGGCTCAAACTGTACCACAGCCTCAGCTGTGCCCCAGGCCCTACTCTAGGCACCCTCTGACCAAGATTGCCCTCATCCTCACAGCAGCCCAGAAGGCTGGTGTTGTGGGGTAAAACCAAGCTCCAGACATTTACCAGGGAGCCCCAGGTCACGTTGGAATCAGCTGCATGAATCAGGTCTGAATCCAGGTGCCCTTCAGGGAGAAGGTTCTGCATTCAGCCTTCCTACTCACTTGCAAGTACCCAGCTCTGTGTGCAGGGAAAGAGGCCACAGGGCTGAGGGTCAGACCTGGTGTCCTGGCCAGGCTCTTCCTGCCATTTTTTAAGGCCCTATTTATGCTGTGCCCTTTCAAGGTCCTACCCACCCTGCCCCTTCACCCAGGGTGCCAGGTGGGCCCAGTCACCCCTGAGCTTCTTGCTCTGAGAACCTGCAAAGTCCCACAGCCCCTCTATCCTATACCTGTCTGGAGCCCCGGGATTGACCCAGGTCTCTGAGCACCTACCTGGCAGGGCACAAGAGCTCCATGGGCCACCCATAGGACACCATGTGCCACCTTCCTTGGGGCTGTCCACAGGCAGGTGCACTGGATGCCTAAGACCAGTCAGCCTTGACTTCCCTGCTGACCACTCTACTGTAGGGTGGCAGGGACTCTGCCCCTGTAGGACCCAGGTATGATCTAGTCTCCACCCAGCCTCTCCTCAGGCACTGGACCACTGACCCTCAAGTGGGCCCACGTCAGCAGTGTTGGAATCACAACAGGGGCTGTGAATCAGTTCTACACTTGGGTCTTCACCAGGTGGAGGTGATTCCTGGGCAAAGTTTTATATCTTCTGGTTTGGGCATTTCTAGATATTTCCTGTTGACTTGACCTTGCTGTCATTGCAAAATGACCCTTTTTACCTCAGGTGATTCTTCTTGCTTCCCAGTCCTCTCTATTTGCTGTACAGTGATAACATCTTTCCTTGGGTTGATGCTTGCATGACATGCTTTTCTCTCTCTCTTGCCACTTCTAACTTTGTTTCCTTGTACTTAAGATGGGTCTCTTGTAAGCAATCGGATCTGGCACTCTTTGCCTTTTAGTAGACATATGTGGTTCACTTATGTTTATTGTAACCACTGGGTTATTTAAGTGAAAATCCATCATGTGAGTGCTTATTTATCACATCAGCTCCTCCCTTTCTTGACTACTTCTGGATCAACTGATATTTCTTCCTATCTATTTCACCTCCCCTCCCCTTGATTGGTTTGATAACTGCACACACTCTTAGCATTAAGAGGTGACCTTAGAGGTTGTAGCATGAACTTTGGCTACTTAAGTGTTTTTGTGATTTCTGAGACACTGGGGGCCTCACAGCTTTTAATTGTACTCATTTTCCTCCCAACTTTGGTGCAAGTGTTGTCATGACTTAATTCTGTACATTTTGACTATTTGAGAATAAATTGCTCAGATCATATTCCCCCACAAGTACTTCCTACGAGCAAGGCCATTCCCCTCCAATACAGTGATCTGATCTACAGTCCATTTTCAAATTTCACTGGCTGTCCTCCCAAAAATGTCTCCAGCTACTTGTCCTTGCCATGACCTTACCTCTAACCTGGAACATTCCTCAGCCTTTCTCTGCCCCGTATGACTTTGAGATTTGTTAAGAACTTGGGTTGATTATTTTCGTAGACTATCCCACAACTTAGGTGTGTGTGGTATTTCTGCATGATTAGACTGAGGTCTTAGCATTTTTGGCAGGGACCATGTCATCTCAGTGATACGGTGTCTTACCAAGCCTCTGTGTATGGGAGGCTGGGGGGCAGATTCTCTGTTATTTGTTACATTAACTTTGATCACTTGGTTAGGGAGGTATCTGTCTGGGTCCTCTGTTATAGTTACTACAATTAATAAGTAATTTGCAGAATAATAAGGTTGGCCCTCTGTCTAGGGGTTGCGCATCCACAGATGGAGCCAACTGTAGGTCAAAACTTTTTTTAATTGCTTCTGTATGCACAGCTGTGGACTTTGCCCCCTTGTCATTATACACTAGGTAACAGCGCAGCAATCATTCGCAAAGCATTTGTGTTGTGTTGGTATGTAAGTCATCCAGGAGCACATGCTTAGGTCATACACGAAACTCCCATCCTGCTCGGCATGTTCCTCTTTTGAAGGAAATGTTACACTGTATCCCGTGGGCCTCCTGTCAGCTCTACTCTCTCTTCTCTGCACTCGTGGATGTCAGAGTTTTTCTCTGTGGCCCATAGTTATTTCTCTGTGGCTTCCAGTGCGTAAACCTCTCTTCTTTGTCCAGCTTGTCGTTTGATCCTTCTATTGGATTCTTCGTTTTCACTCACTACATTCTAGATTTCTTCTTAATTCCTGGTTCCAGTTCTCAGGTAAAGCCACCTGCCTTCTCCAGTTTTCTTAAGCATACAAGTTAGAGTTATTTGCTGGGCTTGTGGGCTGGTTTCTGTTTTCTGCATTTCCTCTTAATTTTCATCACTAAGTCCTAACTGAGTGCCCAGCTTGTATAGGAAGAGGTTCTGGGTGATGTGATTTCCCTGAAGAGACTAATTTTTTTCTGTCTGGCAGATTACCTTAAACCAGTCTTGGCTGATATATTTCTGGGTTACTCTGTTAGCTCCGTCAGGCGCTCAGCCTCTCTGCCAGGGCCCCTCTGTCCGGCAGGCGTGGCTGAGAATTCTGGCTTCACCTGACACACACATACACACGTGATTCTGCCATCTTTCAGATCGGCTGGTTTCCTTCAACGTATGTGGAAGAGGAGGGCGTCCAGTGACAGCAGGAGCGTGGACAGGACTTGCGGATTTTCTTGGGAGAGTCTCCCCAGCTCTGAAGTCCATCTCCCATGACCCCCAGGGGAAATGCCTGCCAACCTTCCAGTTGTCGACAGCCCATAGGGATCGGGAGGGTGTTCGAAATCCTAAATGCAGACCGTTTCACCACCACCTGACCTTGGTGGCTTGTCTCTAGGTACCTTCCCTGTACATAGAGGAAATCTGAGCTAGCCTCACCCAGAGCGCCAAGGAGAGGGGGCTCCAGCAGCATTATCAGACAGGCCGTGGGCGACAGCTAAGACAGAAGCTCACAGTTTGCCCCTCTTGCTGAGATGGTTGTTAGGAGCCTCAGATTAAATAGCGGGGTGGTGTCCGAGGGCGGCCCCTCGACTCAGCCGCCCGTCTTCTCTGCTGCTCTCAGGGGATTCAGGCCTTGAGAGGCAGACAGGACCAGAGTCAGGCTGCTGCCGCAGCCCCACTCAACCCAGCTGTGTGGGGACGCAGAGAAAGAGAGCTTGTGGGTTCCCTAGACTTCCCCTGACTTCCTTGCGTCCCTCCACACTAGGGGCATGCAGAGCCCCACTGGGCAGGTCCCTGTCTTGGTAGGGGCCTTAGGAATGAGGACATCACCACCCCACCCCACCCCTAGTCAATGGTACTGCTCTTTGCCTCACTGAGAACCCCTTTTCTGAACCCTGGGAATGTCTGCCCTGCTGCTGGGGAACATGTTTTCTGTCAACCCTGAAGAGCAGGGGAGATGACAGGGCTCCCTTCGCCAGGTCTCTGCCACCCACCTCCCTCTCCAGGAGTCCTGTCTTGGTCTCCTCCGTCCTGCACAGTGGTGCTGGCTTTTGCACGAGATGTCAGTACTAGTTCTTGGCAGGTCTCCCCTCCCCGCAAGGACTCCTGCAGCCCACAAGCTGAGCCTGTGGCCAACGTGAAATAAGTGCTCTTGGGTGACTCCACCCGGTCCCCCATCCCCGTCCCCCCCAGCCTTTGGCCCCTGACTGGCTTGCCTAGCCCTGTTTCTGTACCCTCCTGTTGTGTAACACCTAGCAAGTCTGTCTCCTGTGAGCTCCCTGCCAAAGCTTCTGGGGGACCCGGGCTTCCTATGGCCCCTTCTCTTGGGCCAGCCACCCAGCCCTGGGTGAGGAAGAGGCCCAGCTGAGGCTGGTACTGGGGAGGCTGTCCCTGCTGAGGGTGGGACTGGCACCACACTGCACCTGGCGGGGGAGGACTTAGGTTGGCCTGTGGCCTCCAGGCTCGGTGCCCAGGCCCAGCATGCCAGGCATGGGGAGGAGTTGGGGAGGGTCAGGAGGTGGGGAGCAGTGGGAAGAGAAGACACCCTGCCAAGGCTTGAGAAATGAGAAGAAATGGTGCAGGTTGGAGGGGGTGAAGCGTTGGCCTCGGAGAGAGCGCAGTCAAACCCTTGTGAGTCAGGTGCACGGAGCACTTTGTGCAGGACCCTCGGCTCAGCCAGCCCAGCCACGGGCCCAGGACGGCAGGGGAGGAAGCCAGTCAGCCCCTTCTGTTTACGTCGTCAGAACGTCCTCGTGCTTTCGTTTTGGGGGTCTTCTGTTCTGTTGTGTTTTGTTTGGCCTGTTTGTTTTCTAAGGGGAAAAAAGTTTGTAATTATTCCATCCACATCTCCCATTATATATCTGTGAATAATAAGAGATTTTATAATAGCAAGAAAAGGATGTATATTTTAGTTTGTTGCAAAACAACTCATCATGATAACGAAGGACACTGAAAAAAAAATTTAGAACCCTGGTTTTTGTGAATGTTTTGCTTTGTGTTTGTTTTGAAATGTCTTTGTTTTGGTTTTGCACCAAGCAGGGTGGTGGGGAGGCCGGGGGCAAGCTGGGACACCGATGTTTCTGCAGGAGGCAGGATGCCCTCGGGGGACGGAGGACCTGAGGCCTGAGATCAGCTGTGAACACTTAGGAGCCCAATGCATGCAAGTCAGGGATGGAGGGGTCCCTCAGCCAGCGGTGACCCCAAACGGAGTACAAACTGTATATTTGCCAATGGGTTTTTCAGACCACAGTTTATACTGCAAATAAACCTAAGTTCTTTTCAGCAGGAGTGGTTAGACTGTCGTGCCTGGGGAGTGGGGAGTGGCCAGATTTCTCCATCAAAGCCCAGCAGGGTCTGCCCTACCAGCTGCCAGCTGGACCTCCTCCTGGCTGAGAGAGAGCGAATGAGACGAGTGTTACATTTGCTGCCCCCTAGGGTGGGTTTGTGACTCCTGTGGCATAGGTTGGAGCAAACCCAAACACTGAGATCGTTTTTTCTTCCCTCCCCTCACAGAAAAGCAATCCAGAGGTGGTTTGCCCCACCCCCCACCATCCCATGCCATTAGGAGCTCAGGCTCCTGTCCTGATCTGTCAGCCTCAGCCTCCGTTTCCCTCCTTACAGTTGCCGCATGGTCCAGTGTGGCTGCTGGAGCTCCTGTCAGCAAGACCATAAGAGGAAGCAGAGGTCCCCTTATGGCTCTGTGGTCAGCGCCTAATCACAAGATCACTCCTAGCTGCAGTAGAGCTGGGAAATGCTGGGTTGAGCTGGCATGCATCCAGGATGTGGGGTCCTGTTACTAAGGAGATGGGGCAAGGCCATAGGGATGGGTGGCTGGCGGCCTCTGCTGCAGACCCACCTCACTGGTGCCTATGAGGATCAGAGACCTCAGCAAATGGCCTTCTTACAAACAAGGCCAGGCCTCAGCAACACTGCTGAGAGTGGGGCTGCTTTGCCCTAAGGTCTGGCTCAAGCTGCTGACAGTAGACACCAGCCTGCTGTGACAAGGAAAGTGTAGCCATTCGTCCTTGTGGCCACAGGGCCAATGTGCCCAAGGCAGGGCAGGTACAGGCAGAGCCTCACCTTCCTCATGCCCCACCTCTGCCTTCCATCCTCCTTCCAGTCCAGGCGAGGAGCTGTCACCCTGTGCATGTGAGCCCTCTGGGTGGGACTCCCAGGCATCCAGGCCACGAAGACATGTGACCTAGACCTGTATCCTGACTCCTGTTGCCCCAACAGGACATTTGGACTGGCCCCCCACTGGCCTAGGATGGAGGTGATGGGTTTCATCTGTGGATTTTGTAACCTGGGTTTTGTAACCAGAAGCCACTTTGGGAAATGAAGGTGGGAGGACAAATGAGGGAAGGGCCTGGCTGCTGCAGAGCTCCTCTGTCCTGCCCTGCATTTCACCTGGGCCACAGCCATGCCACTACCAAATGGCATGCTCCAGCCTCTGCTCCTGGGAGCCCCTGTCTCCATGGCCTGAGCCCTGCTGCACGTGTGGGTGGCAGGCATGGGCGTAGTGCCTCTGGTGGCCTCTTCAGCCTATTCTGGGACATCCTGGGGTCACAGGCCCAGAGGTGCTGTTCCTCCTGGACCACAGGGCTCTGGAAGGCAGAGTCCAGACTCTGCCCCTTTCCTCTCACACAACACTCATCAGCTCTGGCTGCTGTGACAAAGCAGGGCAGAGAAGTCCCATCTCACATCAAAGATCCAAGGTCAGGGCCAGCAGGGCGACTTTCCTGAGGCAGCTGCCCAAGGGCCAAAAAGGGGCCTTCTCTCCCTGTCCTCACGTGGCCTTCCCTGGGTCACATCCTGGCATATTCCCTCTTCTTATGAGGACCCCAGACCTACTGGACGAAGGCCCACTCTTAGGACTCTTAGGACTTTGTTAACTTCACCTCTTTAAAGACCCCGTTTCCACAGTGAGGTCCTGGGGGGCCAGGAGTTAGGGCTGCAGCACATGGATTTGGGGATGCACAGTCCACCCCATGGCGTTGCAGCTCACTGATGAGCACGTGTCTGTTCAATCCCACACTGCTCCGCACTGAGGCCTTGTGTCCTCCTTGCTCACAGAACCTGACTCCCCTTCCAGGCTGCCCCCCTGTAGGGACGTCCATGGTTTCACCTGCCCAGGAGCCATTCCCACACCTCACTGGGGACTGTGCCTTCTCCCACAGTCCGTGTGTCCATGAAGGCCACCGCTCGTATTGAATGGACAGAGAGGACCTTGCAGCCTGAGATCAGGAGCCATGCCTGGGTCTAACATGGGATCACCTGGGAAGGTTGCTCCTGGAGCCAGGATAAAAACCCCAAAGGCAGGGCCTTCTCCTGAGAAGAAGTAGCCCAGAGTGAAGTCAGCCAGAAGAAGCAGTGCCCATCCCTGAGGTGCTAAGTCCCAGCTCCATTCTGCCTAAGTCCACCCTGTCCCTTTGGGCTGTGCGAGCCAGCATTGTCCCTTAGGTCAGCTCAGGGTAGCTATGGGATGCTAAAAGTGTCTGGTTTGAAAGGAGTTCTCAGTAATCAGTGGGAATCATGTCCATTCATCCACAAACACGAGCAAGTACCCCACATGCCAGACTGTCCTCTGCTGGGCACAGTAAGAACCGAATGGGAAACTCCCAGCCTCTGACGCTGTATTCTGAGAAGCAGAGCAGGCAAGACTCTCAAGCGAACTCTACTTATTTTTTCCCTTCCTTTCTCTCTCCCTCCCTCCCCTCTCCCCTCCATCTCAACTCTCCTGATGGGTTACAATTTTCTGTAGAAACCATAAAGTTTTCCACTTGACCCACTTTAGGGATTTTCCTTTATCTGTTAAGTGTTACAAAGAATATAAATTTTATGCTGTTTAATTCTTTCATTCATCTGTTCCATATTTATTGATCCCTTACCTGAGCCTCAGTGCTGAACAAGACCACGAGGTCTCAGGTGGTCTCTAACAACATGTCAGACTGACTGGCGGGGTCCCGCTCCATCTCAGCCCTCAACTGCTGATGCCGACAAACCCCACAAAGCATGCCAAGTGCACAGAGGGCCTTGGGAGAAAGGGGCCCATCCCAGAGAAGGAGGGAGAAGTAGTGGACTGTAACCCCAGGGCGGTCTCGAGGCTCTGGCCCTCTGGGGGTGGGCCTGGGATTTGAACTCCTCACAGTCAACGGGATGAAGGAGACAGGTCGATGCCTTTCAGCATGCGAAGCTCAGGACTGTCAACTGAGCTGTCACTTCTTACAGATAGGACTGGGCAAAGAAGCCTGAGGAGTGGGGTGATGCCAAGCCTACATCTCTAGGAAGGAGTCTCGAGCCAGGGCAGAGGACACTGACGGAACAGAACGCAGCTCTGATAAAGCCCTGTCCAAGGAAAGCCCCGAAGTGAAAAAAGATACAAGGAAGGACAGTGAGGAGGGACAGGGACAGCGGGGAGGGAGGACAGGCATGAGGGTTTCCTCAGCTTTTCCAGGTCGAAGTGGTAAGATGGTTAAGGCAGATACGGCAAGTACTAGACGTGTGCACCAGCAACAGATAAACATGAGCAAAGACGCCATAATGAACCGACGTCAGATGGAGATGAGGCGGGGAGTGACACCACTTCATCACGGCCCTGGGGCCTCCACAGAGCCCGTCTAAAAGGAGGTCCGCCTTCTGTTTCCAGGGCTTTCTGTGGCTCCTGTGACGACTCGCCGCAGACTTGGTGCTGTAAAGCAGCACAACCGTGCCACACTGCTGTTCTGTAGTCACAGAGGACCGGCAGTCACAGGACTCAAGGAAATGCAGAGTGGCATTTCCCCTGAGCCTCCAGGAGGACCCATCTGCACACCTTGATCTTGGATTTCTGGCCTTAAGAACTGTAGATCAACAAATTGTGTAAGTCACCCAGTTTGTGGTACTTTGTCACAGCAGCTGTCAGGACAATAATACACTGTGTGACCCTAGTAGGTCTTAAGAAGGCTATTGCTAGGCGCCAGTGGTTTGCACCTGTATCCTGCTACTTGGGAGGCTGAGATCAGGAGGATTGTGGTTCGAGGCCAGCCTGGGCAAATAGTTTAAGAGACATCCATGTCCAAAATAATCAGAACAAAATGGACTGGAGGTGTGGCTCAAGCAATAGAGTCCTGCTTTGCAAGTGTGAAGCTCTGAGTTCAAACCCTAGTCCCACCAAAGAAGGAGGAGGAGGAGGCTGCAGTCTCAGGTTACCCTTGTAGTGGGCCAGATTCTGTGTTCTGGATAAAGCAAACGCAGTTCATGCCTGGGAGAATCCACTCTGAAACTTAGCCTCAAGTCATCCGCAGAGGGGAAGTGCCAAGCAACATTGCTGTCAAAAGCACAGAACGCACAGGGAAGAGCATGCCTTGAATGAAGGCAAGGAAGAAACCACAGGCTGCAGAACCGGACCGCAGGAGTGGAACACAAAATGCTTGTGCTTGGGAGACGATAGGAGAGATTGAAGACGTGTGCAAACAGCAGAAGACTGAAAAATGTCCAAGCCGGCTGGTGGAAGGGCCCATGGACTTTCAGAAGTACAGGATGTGAGTGGGAGCTGTCGGGCAGCGGATGGAGATGGACACCCCCCCAACATTGCCTGTGTGGTCCAGGGTCAGGTGCAGTGGGGGACATTTACAAGATGAGTGTGATGACCAAGGCTGCTGCTGGGCACACAGTGGGCATTGTATCCCAGACCCAACTTAACCTTCTAATAGTACAGATAAAAACATGGTCTTGTCAGAGGGGAGACAGGAATGACCTGGGACCCCCCAGCCTGCGGGCACCAGGAGAGGACTACTGCCTGGCCCTTGGGGCCCTCAGAGTACAGAGGAAGTTGTAGTGGCTTCTGCTAATGGAAGTGGGTCCTTGGTCCCATGGAGAGCTCAATTTTGGTACAATCTCTCTGAGGAAAGGGAAAAGCCCCTTAGGGGCTCATCACCCTGACAGCACACAGTGAGCTGTCAGGGTCAATTTCAGACAGCCCTTTCTTACCACAGAAATTTACATCACCTTGTAGGGTTAGCTCAGACCTGACGAAGCCCTGACAGCATGGATGTGGAGCGAAGGAAGATGGAGATGGAAGGAGAAGGTCCCCTGCACACCGAAGCCAGGTGAATTCCAGGAGAGGACATTGGGCACAGAAGAGGCAGTGCTGGGAAGTCACTGGCCTGGCCTGCTGAGGTCCACAACTAATGCTGTCATCAGCTCAGCACAGAGTCAAGAATCCAGAGAACCCCCCAAGGAGGACAAATTCTAGTAAAGCCGCAAGGCACTGAAGACAAGGAA